TTTGAAGGTGGTTTTGTGCATCTTAAAACATGGAGAGAATATTAAAGAAGCCCTTGACACTAGGTCACCTGCATCTGGGCTGTTCTTGGTGTTTTTGTGCAAGAGTTCAGCTTGCCTAACAATCATCTGACGCCTTTAGAACTGAGGAAGCTTCTTGGATGAGCAGTAACCCCTTCCTCATATATAAACACATTAATTCATTATCAAAGAGGCACTTGTTTAATATTAGTTATGGAGGCATCTCCATTGTAAAGGCTCTCATCAGACTTGTTTCTGCAACTGAATATATTTTCTTGTGGTTGGGAACTGCTTCTCACACTTCTTTCCTACCTGCTGAGATCTGGAGAATTAGTACCACCACAACTCGCTTGGATTTGAGCCTTTTGACTTGAAAATAAGCCTACTTGATATTCTGCCCCAAGGCCAAAGATTAAAACGTATGTTCTTTAAAAAGTGTGCCACAAGTCAATTCATTTACCTCCATTTCCTGAATCAGCTAACATTAACACTATTCATTCCAGCTTCTCTATTAATATATTATTATTATATAACTCACAGCATTTGTCCTTTGTTGGACACATTTTCCCCACAAATACAACATGCTAATATTTTTAGCACAAGCCTATGGCATTTTACATTGTATAAATTAGCCTAGCAGCTAGCGGACTTTTCCTCTACTCATATGAAGCCTGGGACAACAGCAGCATTTAACAAATGCAACATTACAAAATTCGGCTCCATTACAACTCACAAGGTTCACTGACAAAACAACTGTCTTATACTAAACATGTTTTCCAAACAAATACAACATGCTAACATTATTAGCACAAGCCTATGGTTTTTTACATTGTATAAACTAGCCTAGTGACGAGCAGAGATTTCCTCTGCTCATATGAAGCCAGGATAAATCACACACAAGACTTAAAATGCTATTTTGTGGAGGCTGTATTGTCTTCACAATTTATTGTTTCTTATCTGTGAAAGTAAAGTATAGGCTAGATAAAAGCTTCGTTTCCACTGAGGGAAATGGTTTCAGCTTACAAAGAGGTCTGCGTCGTCGCAACAACATTTCTGGGGAGGTGCATGTTAGGCTACGGTGTGAGGTGTGGCATAGTCTCTAAGTTGACGCAGAGCCTACGACGTAGGTGCAGTGTTGATTTGACGCAGAAGTACAAAGCCCAAGTCGACTTAAATTCCTATGCAGTTAGCAAGCTAGTTTGCAGGGGGCTAAGTAACTTTTTAACAAACAAATGCCTGATTCTTAAATGTATTATTAATATAACTTTTGTTTAAGAGTGCATTATGACTTGTTTAGGACTCGAAACTGAACATTTAGGACTTGGAACTCGTCAGTCTTAACTTGAGACTTTATTCGAGATTTGAGTGGAAAGACTTGAGACTTACTTGTCACTTGCAAAACAATGACTAGGTCCTGCCTAACAGCAACAAGTGTCAACCTTAACATGCAAACAGAGTCTTTTACAGTGCATTTTACTTTAGAGAGGCTAAAATAATGATGGCAGGTGTGAACTGGAAATATAGCCCTTCTCTGCAGAGAGATGACTTCTGTCTATCACTGGCTCCACAGGGCTGTCACTTTAAACCACTATGTTGGTTTTCTGAGACTCAAGGCACTGCTTGTGTGTGCTGTGGCTCTGCGTGTTGTCACACAGTCTATGATGTAAATATCTGACCATTTATGTATCATTTCTCCCCCCGCCATCTGCGCCCTCATCCTGTTATGCTACTGCTGGCAACCTTCCAAAATCCCTCTCCAGCTCTAAGCTCTTCTTCTTCCTTGCCTCTTCTTTCACCTCTTCTTCTACTTTATCATCGGGCAGCAAAATGTCTGCCATGTACGAGCCACACCGAAGCCCTCCTCCCACTCCCTCCCTGTCTCTTTCTCTCTCCTTCCTCTGCCGTCTAACCGAGCTGCACAGCGGTTACGTAAGAGCTAAGGTCAAAGTGTCACTGCCGTTGTCAAGGGAGACATAGAACAGAGGGGCTTTAGAGGAGATGGGCGAGAGAGGGAAAAACAGCAGACACAAATGGCTGAGAGGAAAAAGCCGTGCAGAAAAGGCTAGAAAAACAAGGGTTTGAACATGTGTGCATGAATAAAAACATGAAACTCTCAGAATATGTTTTATTCAGGCTGCGAAGGAAGTGTATGAATAAAAAAAGATAAGCGATTACGTCTGAAAAACAAGGAAGGGGCAGAGGAAGAGGATTTGGAGAGGGGGAAAAAAAAACAAAAGAATGTGAGTGCCTGTGTCTTTGTGTGTGGGTGAATGTGTGTGTGCGTGTGTGTGTGTGAGAAACAGAAAAAGAATCTGTGACTGTAGGTGCTCTGTGCTCCGCTGCTCCACTAACCTAGTTTGAGTAATCTCTGCCTTCATGCTGTTTCATAACACTGCTGCCAGAGCATTGCATCATAAGGCCACCCGCTACAGCAACACCCCCCGCCCCCCCCCCCGCCCAGCACCCATCCACCTCCTCATCAGCACCCACCATCACACACTGTCCCGAGCACACATTTACATCAGAATCCTTTTTATTCATAGATTAAGCAGGGAGGATGAACTGCGTTTTTTTTTAAGTACAAAATGTGCAAAGGAAGAGATGATTCACGCGCACGAGCAAAAATAACACATTTGGTACAACACACTGAGATACGAATAAGCAGCAGTATTCTGGTGATACATCCCTGCGTGTCCAGCACAGAAATGTGAACCTGAAACAGAACCCAGACTGCTGTGGATCAAACTCGACGAGGTCACTGGGTGTAAACTCCGAAGCTGCTCCACCGAGAATACATTGAATGATGGTGAGCAATTATTGGGCGAGCAGCCAGGGATATTTTCCTGACAAGACTCCTCTAAGAACGCTACACAGAAGCAAAGCTCATTTGAGTACAATGGGTTGAATGAATATTTTACAGCTCCACAAACTGAGTCTCTGCAGCAGCTCTGCATTGTAGCATCGTGTATTGGCATTAAATTTAAAGTCACTCATCTGTGTTCACATTTCTCAGGGAAAAGAGCTGTTTTCATATCACAAGCACTATTAAGGATGGGAGCTCATATACAGCCTAGTGTCCACATTTATCAATATTCAGAGGTGTTAAGGACTAGGCTCGGGCTGCATCATAATGTCCACCAGGGATAGATGGGACATAAAAACATGTCCCCCCTGTTTTCAAAATCCTGTACGCCCCCCCCCAGTAATCATCCCTAATACTCTACTATTAGGCCAGTTGTCAGATTCTGGCTGAAAATGTGAATTAGCTGCTGAGTTTGCTCTGATATTACTCCAAAAAATGCCACAGAGGAGCAGCATATTTAGTGCAATACTGGCAGAATATAGCATGATGACCGACTGAGTTATTTCCAGGATTTTGATTTTGTAACAATAGTCCCTAAATGAATGAAGTAAAGTAGGAAATGATATTCAAATGCTTAATTTTGTTCCAGGGGAAGGCCTCCAGACTACCTCTCACACTAAAGTTACACCCCTGACTGCAGCTTCCTTATCATCAATTGTGTTTATTAGTTTATTTTCTTATTGTTTGGTCTTTTAAATGTGAGTAAAGAGTGAAAAAGACTTAAAAGCCAACATGACACAGAGCCTAACTAAACTAAGTAACTAAGTGTAGATTTTCTCAGGGGGTGGGGTGTTGCAGGGGACACATCACAGTCATCTTTAAGAATAAAACATTAAAGACATTTACACCATAAACAGATGCAGATAAGGCACACACTGGTGGTAAAAATACAGGAAAAGTGTTTGATGCTCAACATTTTCTGACAGAAGATCCTCAAACCCTCCATTTTATATACATGACCTTTGCCTTTGTATCTAAATGTCTTATTTGTCTGACAGACAGTCCAAAACATGTCAGCTGTGTAACCATGCATGCCCAAGGAGGGGACAATTTTGGGAAAGATTTTTGAGACAATTTTGTACATGTGTGATAAAACCACAAACCAAGAGCCAGCAATATTTGGTGTTGCCCAAACAGATCTGCGTCTCTCCCGAGCCCAGACCCGTGCTTTGGCCTCTTCGTCACTGCTAGCAAGACGTCTCATTCTGTACAACTGGAATTCCAACCTGCCAACTCTGTTTGGCTGCTGGGTCAGTGATGTCATGGCTCACTTGAAGTTGGAAAAGCTCAGATATACCACTCAAAGGATCAGACAATGAACTCCATAAAGTATGGCAACCATTCCTGGACGATTATAAAAATGTATGTACTTCAAGAAACGTAATTTAATGCCCATGTGTGCCTATTGTAGGATGGAAATATTTTTTTTCTTTCTTCACTTGTTCGGGTCCACTCTGTTGCTGTTAATCCAGTTGCAATACCCGATTATTATCATCAGTCTGCATATTTTGTATATTCATGTGTATTAGGCAGGGCAGTCTTGGGGAGGGGCGTGGTAGGTTTGGATGTTTCTTGTTTCTTGGTTGCTCTAAAAACCCATACAAAAAAATAATTGAATAAAATAAAAAACAGTCGAAAAGATGAAGAAAATAAATTACCATCATGCGAGGCTGCAAAAATCAGCATTTGAGAAGCTGGAGCCGATGATTTGGCTTAAATAAAGACTGTTGCTGTAGATTTCTGCAAGACAGGCAACACAGTTAACTCAGTTAAAGCAAATACAGCACACTCATTGAATGTGCGAACTCTATGGTAAACACAGCCTGTTTGAAAGCTTATTTATGCTTATTTGTAACTAAAGTAACACCTAATTACATCTCAGTGATTTACAGGCTCCATTCTGCATGTTAGTGGCTGCTGTAAATGTTATGAAATGGGAAACCAGCACACATTAATGTCTGTTTTAAAGCAGAACTGACTGAGCTCTAATTACCTTCCTATTATTTCCTGGACGTGCTTGTATTTATGTCTCACTATACTGAGCAATCATCAGCCCAGCCACCTTAAACTCGCTCCCGTCCGCGCGCTCCCGCGAGAGCTGCGAGAGGAGCTGTCGGCAGTGAGATCATGGGAGAGTCCACGCTTGGAGAAAGTAGGTTAGCAGGGTAGACTGAGAGGAAAGCAGGCGGAGAGTCAGAGCGCAGAGGGGGGGTCCGATCACCGGTTCGTTCACCGTGGGACTGTTCTGTCAAAAAAGTTGAGCCAAATCTATTCGCCAGTGCGCACAGACGGTTACGATGCGATCCAAAGCGACTTTCTTCACTCTTTTATTCCGCTCGGATTTGACCGAGCGATAGGCGAGAGGAGTTTCGGCTAGTTTTTTCTGTCTTTTTTTTGCTCGTGCTTTACGAGTCTGCAGCCGGGACGAAGTTTGTATTTCCAGAGCCAGTTCTCTCTGGCTCCAGCGGTTTATCCTCATCTGTCCTGTCACCAACATTAACCACATGTAGCCGAGTTTTTTTATCGACCAGCAAAGAGAAAGAAAACATCAAAATGAGAGGTGAGTTGGGTTTTATCTCACAGTCAATCTGTGCATGTTTAGTTGAACTTGGTAAAGATTGGCAGTGTGCTTTGGTACGGGCTGGAACGGCCACATGTGTGTGCACGGGGTCTTGAGTGCGCCTGTTTTTCCTCCCAGTGCGCATTAATGCCTCATGACTGGATTATAGCTGCACAGAGCCCGAGGCTGCATGCTCCATACTGAAGTTCATGCAATGACAAACAGCTGGAAGCGCACTGCTCAAGCATGAGAATTCGTCAACCAGATGCATTTGTTAATCATCTGTCTTTCTGTGTGTTTGTGGTGAAATCAGCCTGAGACTTAAATTGCACTCGTGCGTAATCTCGCTTTATGGTTCTGTGCCGTTGCCAAATGTGTCTGTTGTTGAAGAAATGTGAGTCACATCTCACCTGGGAGACCTTCTGCAAATTTTGCCAGGGGATCCATGTTAGAGTTATGCAATAAGGAGAGGGAGGAGCATGAGAGGAGGTTGTTGTTAACCAAAACTGCAATTATGTAATCGAGATGTATGTCAGTCGAGTTTATCAGGTTCATGATCTGGTGACTTTCATATTTAAATTGTGAACATTTAGCACACATTCGCGTAAAAACACAACACTCTCAGATACTTTCTGGCAGTTACCGGCATATAATCATGTAATTGTGTGATGTTTTATATGTATATTTTCAATAATTCGTTTCTGAAGGTGTTTCCAAACTTTTCTTTTGCACCATTGACTGCACAAGATGAATCTGAGCAGTGCCGGTGGAGCTGTGTGATGTTGTTGTGATGTGATGGCTGTGCCAGCATGGCCGACTGCGTGAGTGCACAGAGGGAGAGAGATCTGGCTGTTCCACTGACCCAGTTATGTCACCCAACATTATACAGCATACGCAGCGGAGGGAGGGGGAGCGGCTCTGGGAAGCGCCGTGCCGCCGGGCGTGCAGCGCCATGTGCGGTTACAGGCGCGCACTGACGGTGTGCCGCTCCACGACAGGCAGAGTTTGAACTTGAGCAGAGGGCAGCAGATAATTGTCATTAACAAGGAGAGTGTTTATATGCAACCATCTGATTTCTTTATCGATTATGCATTTTAATGGAAATAGACCTATAGTTTAAAAATATTAGAAATAAGTCCAAAATATATATTAATAAGCAACATGTAGGCCATGTGAATTTAAAATATTTATTTCTAATAAATATTTGACACTCATTATCATGCATTTTTTCCTTGCAAACAAACACACTAGTACAAATCAAATAATTAGTCACAATTTTTGCTCCTGTTCTTGTGTAACAATCTCTCAGTCTATTGTTGTGCTGGACAGGAGATTAGCTGCAAGGAGTTATTTTGGCAAGGGGAGGAAAGAGATGAATTTTTTCACTCATAAAGGGGGAGGGCCGGAGATGAGGCAGAGGGGGCCTCTGGTGGAGGGAGGTTCCATTTTTGGCAGGATATCCAAATGTAAACAAACCGCTGCCCTTTCTTCGCTCACTGCACTCAGAATGTAGGTTAGTCGCTCAACCTGCTGTTTCCTCACTAGAAAAGCATGTCAGCATTTTTATCCCCAGTTGGAACATGCATACACACATTGGCAATCACAGATAACCACTTGGCATGCTGACAGACTGTTAGTGGTCTGTTGTGATGTCTGGACCTCGGACACTTCCTGTGGTTTACTGTACTGGATAGCAGAGTGCACGTCCTCTGTGGAATGTATTCATTACATAAAGACATAGTGAAAGATCATGAGACACACACACACACACACACACACACACACACACTGATGCCTGGTAGAAGAGGCCTATGGAATTCTTAGCTCTAATCCCCCCTCTGTGGGCCTCAGCCTGGCCTCCACTGGTATTTGCATCTTTTAAAATAGAGCCCCTTTATTTGAATGCACCAGCAGCCAGGTTGTATATGCATTCTGAGTTTGTAAGTGAAGTCGCATCAGTTTTGTTTCAGCTCTTTTTTTTAGTGTCATCCTCCGAGTATGAAATGAAAACATTTATTGAGAGCTGCGTGTCAGAGAATGGGGCTGTGTGCTACAGGGTGTCAAGTGTAATCAGTTCATAGATTGAAGCAGAGGGTGCGAACACAAATAGGGTTTTGTTTTCATATCTGAGAATATACATCTGCCCTCCTTGGGTTTATCTCCGCAGGCCTTGAGGCTTTGCAAACGATTTGTGTTACAGAAATAAAACAATCTGGAAAACATTTCCATACTCGCGACATGATTTCAAAAGAGGAAGAGGCGACGGGGGCAACCACAGTGGATTTGTTGTGATACAGCTCTGTGCTGCGCCGCAAGCCTACACCCAACTGCGAGGCATGACACAACAAGTGCTTCAGCATTGCTAATATGTATAAAGCTCAAGCTCAAGGCCCCCCACCTCCTCTTGAGTGTGTCTTCTCATGCTGTCAGTCAGTCTTATGCTGAAGTAATGAAAAAATTTAACCAGCTCCTATTGAGCGTTGCGTCAATCGGTTGCTCAAGGGCATTTAGCTTTAGTCTGAGTGTTACCGTGACTTGCGTAATAAGCAAACAGCCTGCACTTGCATTAAAACAGCTTGGTAGATAATGGATGAATTACTGAATGGGCCTGCTGGACAGAGGCCTAGGGGCCCAAAGTGTCAGAGGGCCCCCATGACCTTCACTTGCAAAATGTCACTCATATTAACAAGTACTGACCAGGAAGAGTTTCAAAATGTCCAGAAAGAGACACAAAAGGACCACAGAGTGTCATAATTTGACCAAAAAAGACATAAAATGACCTTGAAGATACAAAATTACACCATAGAGACTGAAATAACTACACAAAGACACAAAACAACCACAAAGACACACAAAATGAGCATAAAGAGACATAAAATGATCAGAAGAGACAGAAAATTACTTCAAAGTGACACAACAAGCTACAAAAAGACATTAAATGACCACTAGAAGACACAAAATGAGTATAAAAACACACAAAATGACTACAAAGAGACATAAAACATCTAAAAGAGACACAAAAATAAGTCAAAGAGACATAACAAACTACAAAAAGATACAAAATGACCACAAGTAGACACAAAATGAGTATAAAGACACACAAAATGACCACAAAGAGACTTAAAACATCTAAAAGAGACACAAAATGACTTCAAAGATACATAACAAACTACAAAAAGACACAAAATGAACACAAAGATACACAAAACCTCTAAAGGAGACACAAAATGACCTCAAAGATACATAACAAACTACAAAAAGACACAAAATGACCACAAAGAGACACAAAATTAGTATAAAGAGACACAAAACGTCTAAGGGAGACACAAAATTACCCAAACAACTACAAGAAAGACGAAAAAACAACCACAAAGAGACACAAAATGAGTAAACGGAGACACTAAACCTCATAAAGATACTTAACGACTACAAAGAGACACAAAACCACCACAAAGTCTGTGTGACCTGCTGCGATGTAGGAGAGGTGGTGGGGCCCTTTGCATATCCGTGCCCGGGGGCCCACTGTCTCATAATCCGCCCATGTGTAAGATTAAAAAAAGGAGAAGTGATGTGTGGATGTTTGCACGTATGTGGCAGTGAACATGTGGAGGTTCAAATTTCATCTTTTTCTTCTTGGACATGTTATCGACACACTGACACACTGACATACAGATTGTTTTATGCTCGGGCTCCTGCTGGAGGATCACTGGCTGCTTGTTTCACACTGAGAAGTGAACAGTTGGAAGAAGAAAAAAAATCCAGTGATTTGTCTCTCTGTACCCCACCCCGTACTGAATTAGCCTGTTGTAGAGATAACAGGGTTACACATTTAGCTGGCTGATAAACGCACTGGGGACAACGTGTTCGAGGCTGAGCTGTTAAAGTGTCTGTTCTCAGTTTATTTTGTGAAAAGGCTTGGGTGTGCCTCGCAGAGTAGCCGTCCCACTGCTCAAACACCAGCCATGTCCAAACACTGCTCTTTGTTTGCTGTGAATTTCAACTCATTTATCGCATTTCACTGTAGCATTTTGGTTAATGTGTGAGCGTGTGGGAAACGTAAAGTGCTGCGTGCAGCCTTCATTCATCATGTTAGCAAAAAGGCAGCATTGGTATTGATCTTCTTGGAATGCAGAATCTCTAGAGAGCTAAAGGTCAGATGCCTCAGACCGGCGTTTTAGTGCAGGTCAGCAATGATATTCGGGGTTAAAGGGAAATGTTGCTTTAACAATAATGTGGCTGCTGCTGTGTGTCTCCATTAGCTTCGTTAGACAGGTTGTCATGCTTGTTAAGTGGGCTCATTATCACTGAATGTTTGTCTCATAACAGCAGTGTTTTCTGTAGAGATGAAAAGATTATCCAGTTAATTAACTAGCAGATGGGCAGAAAAATATTTGGCAACTGTTGCTCTAGTCACTTCTGAGGCAGAAATGTTCTCAAATGTGAATAAATTGTTATGCAGTTGATAAAGTAAACCAACATGTGGTGCTTGTCTTAGTCGTATATGACAGTAGAAAGACTACTGTTAGGTTTTGGACAGTTGGTCTAACATTGAGGGCAATTTTTTCAATATTTTCTGTTTTTTTTCCCAAACCAAATGATTAATCAATTAATTAATCAATTAGCTGTGGTTCGATGCTTCCAGGCGTCCCTGTTGATTTTCTATGCTTAAAGGTCCAGTGTGAAGGATTTATTGGCATCCAGCAGTACGGTTGCGTAACTGAAACCTCTCCTGACTGACGCAAAAATGCAAATGGCCCTATCTAGAGCCAGTGTTTGGTTTGTCCATTCTGGGCTACAGTAGAAACAACATGGCGGACCCTGTGGGAGAGGACCCGCTCTGTATGTAGATATAAACGGCTCATTCTAAGGTAACAAAAACACAATGATTATTATTTTCAGGTGATTATGAACTAGTGAAAAGATACCTATCATATTATTATATATCCTACACACTGGACCATTAATTGATTCTTTGTGTGTGGGTAATTGGTTCAACAGACAAGGCCACCACAATAAATAAGAGACCATAAAGGATATAAATATTTTACTGTCTCTGGGTTGTGCCTGGATATCTGCAGAGTGTCAGAGAAGAGGAGTGAGGAAGCATGTACGTGTGGTTGTAGCAGCAGGGGTGGGCGGCTGGGCATCTGTGTAATTCTGGCTCTCAGCACAGGACAAGAATAGATCAGGCTGAAGCAGAGGCTCAATGTCAAAGACTAGAGAGTGGGGAGCGGGCGGAATAGCTGACATTCAAGTTCAGAGTTTGTCTGCTGCGAGTGGACTGTTGCCAGGTACAGTAGAGGCTGTTACAATCCAATCAAAACTGGTTTCTCATTAATAAAACACCACAGATTATTGCAAAGAAATCAATCCATACAGAAATACTCCTATGGGAAACAGGTGAAGATCTCTGTTGGGTATTGAATGAACTTGTGAGTGAGTTTTTTTGGGCTTATTATCTTGCCTGGTTAATTTTGTCGTTATGTAACTCCACCAGTTTCGTGATATAATCTACGAGCCTTCAGGGAAATGTTTTATGGGGAAGTCTGAGCATTGTTCAGCTCCACCTTAAAACTGGTGTGCGGAGCGTCGGGATCGTGCACGCCTCCCTCCTCCCTCTCCCCCTGCAGTGGGAAAGTGTGTCAGTAGGACAGAATGTCCACATGGGCTGACAGGCTACAGCGCCCGAGTGGCGGATGACTCAGCCAATACCAAGGAGGCAGCGAACGCCGCTCAGCCAGTGGGAAAGAGCGAGTCTGCAGCGGGGCGGGGTGTCAGTGTTGCTAGAGTGAGCCTGCTGAATGAGTGTTGTGAGGAATGCTCACAGACGAGAGTTATATAATCGTGAGATGAGGGAGGGGTGGAGGGGAACCTGAGAGAAAGAGAGGAAGGGAGGGAGGGAGATAATTTTCCATTGCATGCCTGCAGCTGCCCTGATCAGTTGAAGTATTTTAGTCAACAGTTTTAGTGAAGAGACAGCCGACTGTGTCATTAAAGGAGAAAAGAAGTGGAAAGTTGTGTTTTCCAGTACCTAAGAGTGCAACAATTCCTCCTCAATCACTAAGTGGTTTTCCATACATCGGCCTCACAAGTGGTGCAACTGGGATTTCTCAAACCAGTCTAAGATTGCACACAAGCAGGGCCGAACAACGACTATCTTGTGATGTAGCTGCTGTTGTGTTTTTTTCTTTGGTCAAGAAAGAAGGAGTCTTTGTGTGCGTGTCATGTGTGCAAGTGTCATGTGATTCCCTATCTGTTTGTGTACTCTGTTCCCTCATGGGGGCCACATGAAGGGTGCAGACAAACAGTTTCAAGTTATCTGTCTTACAGCATGTGCTTATTGTAAGACAGTTTGTCTGCAGGGTTGGGGCCACCATTACACAATGGTTTTTTTTTCTTCTTTAATTACTCCACTCGGGTGCAAAGTACAGGCTTGGTCAATGTTTCAGACTCCAGGATCCTAACAGTAGTGATGAAATAGTGTGTAGAGCTTTTCAATTGATCAGGTTTTAGAAAACAACGTGAAATACAACAGCGTAAACATAAGATAGGAGAAATGTCAAAGGCCTCCGCACAGTACTGATTTTTGCTGGCATAGGGAGTTTCAAAGACACAGTCACCCCTGCTAATGAGGCATGTTTAAGCCAGGGCTGACTGTATTCTCAAAAGAGACTAACATGAAATACATCCATGTGTCTAAACCTTCTGTCTTTAAAATCTCAAAAACAAAATCAGAGACGACAGGATTCCCAGAGCAGGAAGACGAGGATATGTATAACATAACAACTCAAGGAAGTATAGATTGTTAAAGGCTTTGCAGCTGCATTTGTGTTAACTTGCAGGAAGGGAGACGGCCGTCTGATAGAGCGAGCAGAGTACACAGAGTTAAAGCAGTCCGACTGTGACAAGATGAAAGCATGGGCGACCTTTTCATGGTCTGCAGCAGATATGAAGGAGCTCATTCTGACCATGGTTTACAGCTGAAGGAAACACGATGGCACGTCATTAATGATCAGCATAAGAGAGACAGAGAAATATTGGGCCTGAAATATGTTTGGCTCGGGTTATTGTGCTTATAGTGATGCTGCCAAGAATTAAAATAAAAGGATTTAGTATTTATTGTCAATAGCAGAGAGAAGTTCTGCTACAGTCTGCACTTTAGAAGAGGATTAAATTTAGGATAATTTGGCCATCTTGTCAGGTTTAAGTGGGACTAGTTGTACAGCTGATGACATGTTTATTGACATTATGCCCAAACGGCTACACATAAATGTAGTATTAAAGGTCCAGTGTGTGGGATTTAGTGGCATCTAGTGGTGAGGTTGTAGATTGCAACCAACTGAAACTTCTCCCATGTGCCAAGTGTGCAGCAGAACTACCATGGCTGACATGAAAATGCAAATAGTCCACTCTAGAGCCAGTGTTTGGTGTGTCCATTCTGGGCAACTGTAGAAGCAACATGGCGGACTCTGTGGAAAAGGGCCGTCTCCGTATGTAGATATAAGCTCATTCCAAGGTGAAGAAACCACAACAGTTTTTAGTTTCAGGTTATTATACACCAGTGAAAACATGCCTATAAATATTATATCTCATTTTTGCCGATATATCCCCTTAATACTACACACTGGCCCATTAAGAGACACATAACTGTATACAGGGTAACAGGGGTCAAAGAGGAGGAGGCCCTTTCAAAAACAGCATGAAAAACAACAAGACCAGTTTCGCTAAAAAGACTTAAAAGCAAAGAGAAACCAGAATCAGCTGTGATCAGTAAATCATTAGTCATTTTGATAAGAACAGATGTCTCACTGGAGAGCCTCAAAAATATTATTCACACTGAAAATCACTGACAATATCTTAGATAAAGTCTGACGCTCAGTATATATCTGATATGGGCTTCTGTGACAGTGTGTATCAAGTCTAAATCAATGAATTACGTCACCTTACGTTGAGTTAGTGTGTAGATATTAACTGTTTTTGGCAGCAGCCCACAGTATGACTCACTAATGTCAAAGAACAGATGTGACTGCTGCACTTGGCAGAGCAGATGTTGACTGATTGTCCAGTCTCTACTTTACTCTGCGTGTAGATCTGACCTCTCGTCAATGTTGTTTTTGGTCCTGCAGCTCAGATCGAGGTCATCCCCTGTAAGATCTGCGGGGACAAGTCCTCGGGAATCCACTATGGAGTCATCACCTGTGAAGGCTGCAAGGTAAGGAGGAAACACAGAGAGTAAAACCAGGCCACAGAAAAAGTTCAACCAACCTGTTTTCATCTCAAATAAAAGTGCGTCATTTACAGTGTTTGCATGTATTTGTGTGTCTAGGGTTTCTTCCGTCGCAGCCAGCAGAACAATGCCATGTACTCGTGTTCCCGCCAGCGGAACTGCCTGATCGACCGAACTAACCGTAACCGCTGCCAGCACTGCCGCCTACAGAAGTGTCTGGCTTTGGGCATGAGCAGAGATGGTAAACACAAACAAACAACACACTGTACTCCTTTCACACACTTCCTTTAACCATGACGTTCAGCGGCGAACCTACTAATTTATCACAGCTGAGGTTTGTGACACTTTCTCTCACACAGGGGAAGTTCAGTAGATGAGTTTCTCTGGTGAATCCTGCTGCGTGTGTTCCTTTAATTTAAAGTTGATACCAGAAGAATTTGTAGCGCTCAGTGGTAACGTTTCAGCTGTCGTGAGAGGGCTCACCCCATGTTGTCCTGTTCTGTAGGTTGCAGAGGGAATAAAATACAGTATACAGACGGCAGAGGTGACGGGCTGTCATCATGCACACTGGATATAGGGACGGGAACATGCAGTATTTATGGATAAGGTGGCAGACATATGTGGGCCAGAAATATTACAATTAGATTGAGGTGACAGCTGCAGCAAACAGATGTGATACTGGTTATGTTTGCCCACAGCTAAAGTAAAAAATACGAATACAATATTTAATTTATGTAACCAATATTCATCTAAGCCTTGTGTTTAGTATTTACAGTGTAAGATGTCTATGAAGTGTTTTGTTTGTCTGCTATAATGAGATCTATTTTCTCTGCAGCGGTCAAGTTTGGTCGTATGTCCAAGAAGCAGCGTGACAGCCTCTACGCTGAAGTGCAAAAACACCAGAAGTCCCAGGAGTGTGTGGGCTCTGCAGGCGTGGGCGCTACTGCTCTGTCCCTACCCAAAGAGGACGGCATCTGTGGAGGTGGCGGAGAGGATGTCGAAGAGGGCCTGAGCCGGTCCTACAGCAGCGGGGGCTCCAGCTCCACCCTCAGCGACCTGGATGACATCGCAGCGTTGCCTGACCTGTTTGACCTGCCTCTGACCCCTGAAGAGGCCAGCGAGTACTGCAGCCTGGAGCTGCTCGGCGGCGGTGGAGCCAGCACTGGTAACACCTCCAACTCATCGTCAGCCTCTTCCTCTTCCTCATCCTTGTCCAATCAGAATTCCCCGCAGCAGACAATGCTGGATGGGGCAGACGGCAACGGGATCCAGCTCCTGCATACACATCCGCTGCTGGGACACACACACACACTGCTGGATCATCTGCCTGATGACTGCTCAATAACAGACCTTGGTGAGTCCTGACAGTGAGAAAGAGCAAATCTTTTTTTTTTATTCACTCATTATCAACACGAACACAGAGTGTGTATGTGGCTAACATAAATATAGACTCTCTTGGTCTGCATGCTGTAAACCAGTTCGTCTGATTCTGAAGGCCTGGTAGCGCACATTAAGAATAACAATATAGAAACAGCTAATCTTGTCACTGATAGTCTTGTTTGCTTAAGTAAGTCATATAGAGGCAGTATTAAATTGAGACAGTTTAAAGAACTCCCTGTAGCTGCTTTAAATGAAGAGAGAACAAGGCCTTTAGCAGAGACAGGATATTGACAGAGACAGGCATTTAATGGTGATTTCCCCTTTTTTACATTTAGTCTTGTTGCTCCCGTTTTTCATGTTAATTTCCTGCTGAACGCTCTTAATGTAAACGCAACATTTCCTCCTTCTGGTACTTCTTGCACCAGAATGTTCAGTGAATAGTGAATAAAATAAAACTAAATTAAAAAAGAGCAAATCTAATTTAGAGAAAATGATTCAATAAATGACGAAGTGGACGTATCACATTAACATGTTTATAAGAAAAGAACAAACACAATGTTCCATGGCAGATAGAAGAGCAATACGGGACAAGCAAAAGATTAAATGGGCAAAACAAGCAATAAAAAACAGACAAACATGAGACATACAGCAGCATAAGCTCAAAAACAGGGGCCGATAAAGCGATGACAGCGTGCTGGTATTTATAGAGGTACGGAAGCAGAGGCATTTTCAGAGAGGTGTCTCTGGAGGCTTTGAGGACGAATAAATTTTGTACTTTATTTTACATCTTTATGGTTGCTGGCAACAACAAACTGCATGAGGCTTTGAATAGGACTCTGGGGACTTTCACAGGAAGCAGTGAGTAAATATTGTGACTGGTGGGTATTACAGGTGCAGGAGGTGGAAAAGATCCCAACAGCTGCGGAGATAAAATGAGTAGATGAGCCTTTAGCACTTAATCTCGTCGGGGGCATCAGTGGCAGGCGTAACAGCAGAGCGGTTTAAAGCATCTAGTTATTCAAGGTCGCGCGGCCGTGATGATCTGTGGATGTAAATAATACCAGTGTTACACTCAGCCCTGCTGCCACCACAAACAGCCCGAGTGACAAAATCACTGATCGTTATCTGTGTGTGCTTCTCTCTCCACAGAGCGCATCACTCAGAGTATTGTTAAGTCGCATCTGGAGACGTGTCAGTACAGCGCTGAAGACATGAAGAGATTCACCTGGGCACAATACGCACCTGAGGAGACGCGTGCTTTTCAAAACAAGGTACATGATGCACACTCAAAAATTACAGATGGTAACTTTTATAACCATACATTTTTTGTCATATTGGCTGAAACTGTCACTATATTCTGAAAGACGTATGAGAGCATGTTCTCCCCATGTCAGCGTGGGTTTTCTCCAGGTGCTCCAGCTTCCTGACAGACATGCAGGTTAACTGGTGACTCTAAATTGTCCGTAGGTGTGAATGTGAGTGTGAATGGTTGTCTGTCTCTATGTGTCAGCCCTGTGATAGTCTGGTGACCTGTCCAAGGTGTACCCTGCCTCTCGCCCAGTGTCAGCTGGGATAGGCTCCAGCCCCCCCCAGTGAGGAATCTGTTACCGCACTGACTATTTCTCAACTCAAATGTTTTCCGAAACATATTTTAGTGTACTGGCATTAGAAAGTTTGCTCCAGCCGGTGGGCGGTGCTTCATTTTGGCTTGACTGCTTCCAACATGGCAGCTGGGTAACTAAAGCCCTTTTTAGATAGGAATTGTGCAAATTTGCAGGAAAGCCCAATCAGTCTTCTTCCAGCACTGGCAGTATAAAAACAAAATCTAGGAGTGCAGCAAAATGCCGCCTACCTAATTTTGTTTATACAGAATGCGCCTTTTTTGGGGCAATGGGGGGCATGAGCAAGTAACAAAACGTGTAGCTCAGCGTGTGACGTAAACAGTGACGTGGGAGGGAAGCCGCGGCTGGTCAGTCTTTCTGCGACTCTCTCGTAAATCGGCCCGTTCTTGACCGTCCCCGTCATCTGACGGTTAATGGCAAGGAAGGCGCGCAGTTCCTTGTCTCCCAAGTTGCTCATCTTTACTGTGTCTGTCAGGTTTGCGTTTCCCTGTTGCTACTAGCTGCTCGCTAATTCCTGCTATCAGCTGTTTCCTGTTTATCCACCGCCAGTGGGTCAAATGTGCGGCGTCATCAACAGCTCCTCCCACAAGTATTCAACAGCCCCTCCCATTGCGGAAGGCCGCTCTGTCTTCTTAAACTGAAAGGATTCCGCCAATATAACTACCCTACGAGGTGGAAAATTGAGCACCTCGGATCAACTCGCCAGTCCAGCTGTGTGTGTCTAAACGCTTGCAGCTTACCGGCAAAACGGCCCAACATTCGCCGAACATCTGGTAGTTTAAAAGGGGCTAAATTTTCCCATTTTACAGCTAAACAGTACACTAAAATATGTTTCTAAAATCATTTGAGCTGAGATACAGGCAATTCAGTTATAAAATCTTGATTGACGTGATTGACAGCTATGTTATAAACTCCTGAGCTGACTTGTTGTTCAGGTGCGGTGGATTCTTGAAGCATCTGTCTCATTCACTACTGTGCAGATGAACAGTATTTACAGTTTCAGCATATATGACAAAAGTTATTTTTATAAAAAGTCAACTACAGCTTCCAAACCCCTGTGTGTAACGTCTGCTGTTGTCACATATATTTATAGCACTGAAATGCATAAATAACAGGTCAGAATAACAGCTCAGTATCGGCCTATTTGTTCAATGCAAATACTGAATCTGATCTGATGAACTACTAAGAGGGGTTTTTATGCAGAAGTTATGTAAATGCACTTGTAACACTCACACTCTCTTTTCTGTGTCACTGTCTTCAGTCAGCTGAGTGGATGTGGCAGCAGTGTGCGCACCACATCACCAATGCCATTCAGTATGTGGTGGAGTTCGCCAAACGCATCGCTGGCTTCATGGACCTGTGCCAGAACGATCAGATTATATTGCTGAAAGCAGGTCAGTGCACAGTCTTAAAAACGCTCACATCTCAAAATCCTTGATTCATAAAGTTTATTCTCACAAAGTCTGAAAACTTGCTAACTGTAGTTCCTTCCTGTTTTTTTTTGTCTCCAACTCTCTACCTTTGCCTTTTGTTTACCATCTGTTTATTTGTTTGGTTTGAACACGGGGGCTGAAACCTTATTCTGGAAACAAAATTTTGAATTTCTTTATCTGTTCAACACACATATATAAATATATATATCTGTGACATAAAATGCATATATTATGTAAATCTTTTGAACTTAAAAAAATCTCTCTCGATATTTTTTTAAACCGTTCAAAAATGTCATTACATATGCTCTGCACCAATCTGGGTCAAAATTATTTACATTTTGTTGTGTTGTTTTGTGCATGTTGGAGCATCTTGCCCCCCTGTCTGTTCCTCCCTGCCCCTATCCTCCTTTCTCTCCATCTCTCCATGTCTTTGCGTCTATCTGTGGCTACCCTTTCAGGCTGCCTGGAAGTCCTGCTGATACGCATGTGCCGAGCTTTCAACGTCAACAACAGCACCATTTTCTTCAATGGGAAGTTTGCCCCGGCTCACTTCTTCAAAGCTCTCGGTGAGGATCAGATGGAGTTGTGTAAGCTCTAAAGCATCCAGATAATTGACAGGGGTGACACGTGAAAGCCTCTTAATGTTTTGCACTCTTTATGTAAGTTAGGAAGTTGTCTCACACGCACTGTGCCGTAATCACCATTAACACCAAAGGAAATGCCTCTGCTGCCACAGAGATACCGCTGCACTGACTGAAACATTTCATTATTTTAAACGACCTCACTGTGGTAATTGTTCCTAAAATGACTCCATAAGACGGTAACGTCAGCTTCAGTCGTATCAACTGCCAGGAATGGCTTTGAAGAGAAGTAATTGAAAGCCTCCAGCTGGATGTTGGTTTCCAGTTTCTGAGGCATTGTCTTGTCTCTTTAGCAATACCAGAGCTGCAGCCTTGTGGAGAAAACAAACGGCATTTAACACAGCAGTTAACAGAGCGATAAAGTCATTTAAAGACCCAGTGAAGTGAAAACAACATTTTCAGAGTTTTAATTCGGTGTCCCTGTGTCAATTGGGCTTTTATCTCTTGTTATGTGAGAAATATATATCCAAAAAGTATTTTTACATTGTGATCAGTAGGTGATTTGAAGGGGGATGAGGGGGACGCCATACCCCTTGTTAGCAAAACGACCAGCTCCAGATCCTGTCCTATCCAGACCCTCGCCTATAACCGCTAAATTACTGAGAATTATAAAATTTGGAGGGAGCATTTCTATTTTAACCGGCACCTCGGAAACTCACTGACCAGTTGCGCACATTGTAAGTCCATCCTCGCTGTTAAAAATAACAAATTGCCTACTGAACATATTCCCTGTCTCGTCTCCTCTTGTTTTTCAAATGTTTGATGACACACCCTGCACTTGGGGGCGTTTACAAAAGTCCATCCAATCAAATGAGACTGCGGGCAACTAGCGAGCCACACTTAGGAGCTAACAGAGCAGACAGGATGAGGTGTGTGTTTGGATCTCAGTGGGCAAAGGTTTTTATTTTCATAATAATGTGACTGAGGTCATTCATCTCTCCTCATCCTCCTCCTGATCTTAACAACAGGTGAGAGAGGTGTGTGTGGTGCCAACAGTCCTCCGTAGCTTCGTCTTGCGCTAAACTCTAAGCCAAGTGGCCCAATCAGATATGGGGATTTGATTTAAATCCCTCTTGTACCGCTCAGATATTATGTTTCAGTGGAAAATACATCACAGTGCAGAAGCCAAAGGCACTATAACTTCCATTTTACTGGGATTTTGAGGGAAAATTATCCAAGATATATTATGCCAGTCAGTACGGCAGCTAATTTCATAACAGAAGTTTCACACTAAGAAGAGTCAGAATTTTGCGAAAGAGGCCAAAAACAGACTTAGAAACACATATATCCCATATATCTCCTGGCTCAGGTAGTTCACTTAAGCAGGACTGTTCAAGTCTACCACTGATCATTGTTGGCGATAATTGTATGTATCTCCTGTGTTTCTTCAGGTTGTGATGACCTGGTCAGTGCAGTGTTTGACCTGGGGAAAGGATTCTGCCGTCTGCAGCTGTCTGACGAAGAGATGGCTCTGTTTAGCGCTGCTGTTCTTCTATCTCCTGGTGATTATTTTTTCCTTTGTCTCTTTCTCGCAAACACAAACATGTTCAATAAAATAGTAGTCTATTGAATGCTGTTGTGTCCTTGGTAAAGAAGGCCACACTGATACTCAAGAGAGACTGTACGACATTTTATTTTGTTGGTGTCTCCTCACACTTGTTATAGCAGATTATTTAGCTTACTTGTTAAGAGTTGTCATTATAAAACTGGTCATTTTTCACCATGTGTCTACGTTATCAGCTTCTGACAGTGGAAGATGAAGTATTGAGATCTTTTACTCAAGTAGAAATAGTAATACCTTGGTATAAAAACAAGTACAAGCATCCAGAAGTAAAAGCACACAAGCATTAGCATTTAAATGTACTTTAAGTATCAAAAGCAAAAGTATAAAGAGGCAAAACTGGAGGTCAAGTACAAGTACCTCAAAACTTTACGTAAGTGCAGTACCACCACTGACTCCTGCAGCACTTTTCTGGATTGCCAGTTTTATGAAGCAAATAAAAGACTTGGTACCTGACGTCATCTCTTAAATAATGGAGCAGCCCGCCAAATCTTTTGTCATGTGCAGCCAGATGCTGTTTGAACTCAAGGAACTTATTTGCAAATCTTAGTGGAGATCTCAAAGTTTCCAAACATACCAAATATGTCAGGAGAAATGTGTAAAAATGATGTGCAAGACCTCTAGCTTATTTTCATTTGATTGAATGGTGCAGCCATAAATGAAACTTTACTGATTTTAAACATCATATCGTGTCAGTCAAGAGCTGACACAGGATGTATACTGTCGGTCGGACAGTGTGGATTTAAACTACCTAAGGAGAAACAAAACTGTATGTTGATGGGGTTATTGTTTCTCTCCCGTAGATCGACCCTGGCTAACAGAAGGCCAAAAGGTTCAGAAGCTCCAGGAGAAAGTCTACCTGGCTCTGCAGCACAGTCTACACAAGAGTGGTGCTTCCGACGAGAAACTGGACAAGGTACTGACAATAAGTCACAACTCTTCTAGGGAAGTACACACATAAAGAAACACACACATGACCTTACCTTTGTTTATCCTCTGTCCCCTCAGATGGTGTCCAAGCTGCCCATCATGAAGTCTATCTGTAACCTCCACATAGATAAACTCGAGTTTTTCCGTTTGGTCCACCCAGAGACCGCCTACAGTTTCCCGCCTCTGTACCGGGAAGTGTTTGGCAGCGAGATGTCTCTGCCGGACTCCACCAACAGCTAGACAGACAGTTAGACAAACAAGAGAGATGGAGAGAGTGTATTAAGAGGTAGGGAAGCAAAAAAAAGGAGAGACAGAGAAGGATAGAGATGTTGAAGCTCAGCAACCAGCAGTTAAGAGACAATCCAGGACTTTAAATACTCCGTCTCCCATGATCCCAAAGCAGTCCTCCACTTTCCCAGCAGGCAAAGCACCTTACACTACAGACCACACATGCTCATGGTCCTCTGCATATTGTAGCATTAACAACAAGCGGATGGGCGTTCTAATAATAAGAGCCTGCCAGGCATGAGACAGCTCCAAGCTCTAACACTTGTTTTTGTAACATCAGATCCACTTTGGATCACCCAACCAGATATGAATGTACCTCAATGAAAAGCACCAGTGCACAAGCCAGAACCCAACAACAGTGAATGTACGACCCTGCCGCTCTGAGACAGAGTTTTACACAAAGTATTGGAAGGAAGTTGTGTCGACACACACACAGGTTCTCACTATTAATACAGCTCTCAGTCAGTAATTCTCTCGACATTAATGCATCTCAGTGTGGTACGCCTGCGTATTCATACAGACAATATCCTTGTACTGACCATCATTTAGGGACCAAGATCATGAGTCATTTTCTCTGCTATGAAAATAAACACACAGACATGGCGTGACTCACGGCTTAGGCTGAGAACCAGTTTCACTCACATTTAGACAGTGTTCGGTGCTGCCTTTTTTTGTAGGCTCTTGTAATGCAATGAGAAACCTCAGTCCCACGCACCCCTTTCCTTGTAAATGCCACTTAGAGACAGGACAAGATGAAATTATCTTTAATTTATATACACATTTATAAACAACTATTTTAAATAAGAATGTAAATAGATGACTATATAAGTATATGGAGAGAGAGAGTTAGAATGTGTGAGTTCAGTTCAGAGAGAGAGCGAGAGAAAAGTGTGGAGGTGAGAGAAAAAGACGGATATTTCAAGAACGCTGATGTTTGGACTCAGAAATTGTCGCCTGGACTACTTCCTCTCTTGACAGTACTCTCAGGTTTCCATGGCAACAACCCCCTCTTGCACTGACGGCAGCCCCCTCCTGGGTTAGGCGCCGTCATCACGCAAGCGACGGGGGTGGACACTTGTTGCAGATGCGATACAGCGGGGTTGGGTGGGGGTGGGGGAGGGCAGTGTACCCAAACAGAGGCGAAAAAAAACCATTGCCTTGCATTTAAAACTGAGAGTTTTCAGGCCGCGCTGTTGCCGCACACGAGGACAAACAAGGACACTAAGGACAGGAGGAAGCAAGGCAAAAGATGACTTCATGAACTGTCTGATGATAACACGGGACACACAGGGTCTCCCCGCCTGTTTCTAACCAGCAGTCCGTACAGTAGGTGTAGAATAACTGTCTTTCACTCATGCTTCAGTTGGTTCAAAGCCGGAACGACGATGAACCATGATATGTATCATAAACCCTCCTTGCTGGTTGGAGCAACTGTATTATTTTGTACATTTGCTGTTCCTCTCTCCTGTAGTCCCAAACACTTGTCCAAACACCAAGCACTTATACTTTCCTCTTCCTCACTGAACACTAGTCTAAGGCCAGACAGAGCTACCAGCTGCCCCCTGAGTTGGGCCTCAATGCCAGTAAGACTTAATAGTTCTCACTCAATCTGTTTTATTAATTTTGTTTTTTTATTATTCCATATCTGTCACACAAGGTCACCCATAGCTGTTTACATTTCCCATGTACATAAGCAACATGCTCTCTGAAGGTTGCATTGAGATGATGATGATGATGATAATGTCTTACTCGGGGTGCTGTGAAGTTCTTGAGCAGAGTCTGAGGAGGACCTGCCGCTCAGGGAGCTAGCTGTGGTCTCTTGTCCCTTTATTACCAGTGTCGTCTTTTAGCCTCGTGCTCCTCACACCTTTGCACCTAAGATGAGACCCGTAACCATAATCACTGTGGACGTAAGTTCTATTTTTGTGAATGTTACTCACAAAGTGTCAAAGCCCCTTCCCATTTGTCCTAATATTGTGACATCAAATTTACAAGACATAGGAAATTTTTAAAAAAAGAAAACACAAATAAATCAGTTAGTTAAATTCATTATTAGGGTTTAATGTTTCTTTTTGCTGTGATTTTCATTTATTTGTCAGTCTTTTATCCACCTTTTTTCTTTATGTGTCTCCACTTTTGTCTTGTAAAGTCAGTGATCTATTTTTTTTAATTGAAGAAAGATTAGGTACAAACAAAAAAAGAATAGTTTGTCCCCCTACTCTTTCCCTGTATGACAAAATGTACAAGAGGTATATTACTAGTCCAAGAGTAACTGAGTCACACAGCTCGATATATATTGTTGTCCAATGGGATACATTATATGTGGTTTTAAGAATGTAATAAATGGTTTCTTTTTCTTTTGAAAAGTTTCATTGAGTCTTCTTTGAAATGTAATTCTGCTTTCATGTTAATATGTGTGTATGATGGGTAGGGGTGGGTGATATGGCCCTAAAATAATATCACAGTATTTCAGGGTATTTTTGCAACAATGATTTTCTTGATGATATGACAAATTAGTAAAAATAACAAACAAACATGTATTATTAATTTAAGAAGAATAAATTAAGAATTGCAGGAAAATCGGTGATCTAGTTGTACATGTCAGCCTAACCGTTTGCCTTCAAATATTTAGTAAAAACTAAATTAAAATAATCCCTTATTTCTTTAGTTTGTGAACAACAACAGTAACTCAGAGTGAGATTCAGATTCTGTATACAATATTAATAGTTAAACAATATAAAATCTGCCACAAATTACACATTTAAACAGCTCCCAAATACAAAAAAAATGTCCCCTGGGATCTATATATAAATCAACAGGTGATTTCCTTCTTTTTGTAAAATCCTAAATAATTAAGTTGTTTTTTTTCCACCTGGACCTTTATGCTCTGCCACATTTCTCCTCTAATCATCACGCTGTAACCTGTGACAGGCTGTTTTGCTACGATAACTATCACACATTCACATATATGTAGTGTTTTGTCGAGCTGCGAGTGTCACGTAGGTTCACATTACCAAAGGTTTATGACAAAATCACATGACGACATTGACTCCCATGTGCGCAAGGTGAGAGAGGAGAGGGAGAGACGCTGTGCTGTTGCCAGAGGAGCCGCTGACTGAGTTCCCTCTGAGTGGTAACTTGCTAAAAGAGTCTGAGAAGTTCGGGGCTGTTCATAAAACATTCAGGACGCCACAGTTTATTCCACACTACTGAAGCTGCTCCTCTTTTTGGAACCACCACAGAGTTGGTAATAATTTTGTTTTCAGCCATGTTTGTTGTTGCCGTGGGTAACAGTATGACGTCAATATGTCAACAAGTCGAAATATAGTGAGTATCACAATATGAAATTTTCGTACAATATTAAAAATTATACTGGTATTATCATGAACGATATGATATGGCACACCGCTAATAATGGGTCCTTGCATGTTGTTGGCTGAACAGACATCTAGTTAGTCTTTAAAAGCACTGATCTGATTATCATAATCCTGCAAATGTAAATGGTCACTACTGCTCTAATGTTTGGAATCAGACTAGTATTTGCTCTGTATGCACACCCTATTCCTTCCATGCCACTATGCAGTGAGACATCTCTAAATAAAAAAAAACATCTGCGACAATTCTGACGAATGAATAATAAATAGAGTCATTATTCAATCAAATATCTAACCATTCTCGGGTTGTCCAATATATATCCAGCGGTGCCCCCAGAAATTTCTCATAGGGATGGCCAGATGGAACCACTGAAAATCTTGGGGTGGCACACCAAAACCAAAAGCCATAATTTAATTCCAGGGATTCGCTTATGCTGCTGTAGCATATAAACTACTTGAAAAATATGTTGATATGGAGTGTTCGGAAATTGTACACTGATATACCTTGGTTTCTTACTTACAGTTAATATTACTAATTATTTGATATGCATGGACTAATACTGTTATAGTTAACATTTTGAGCTCCACAACAACCCTTTTTTAATGTGTTATGTGTCTATACGTAGCCGATTTATTGCTCTTCAAATAGTCCAACTGTCCATATCCTTAAAAAGACAAAAATAAAGCTTAAATTTGAATAAGTATATTGATTGTAAGAAACAAAATATGTACTGGTAACAAGCCTACTCATGTTCAGGGGAGACTTATGGTTACTAGAACCCATTATCATTCAGATATCTTGAGATGAGAGTTCAAAGGAGCTCTTTCAAAATGGGCTTTGCCAACTGTTCCCTCAAAATTTAATCGAACTCTGGAGCATTATTTAGCCCCTTGACCAAAAAGCTATGAATAGATTAGAATAGATAAACTATATTATCTGTCCCAACGGTGAAAGAAACTCTCCTTTCACAAGGCTCAGCAATAAACATGACTCATATACATACAGTCAGGTCCATAATTATTTGGACAATGATACAGTTGTCATCGTTTTGGCTCTGTACACCATCACAATGGGTTTTAAATGAAACAATGAATACCTGCTTAAAGTGCAGACTCTCAGCTTTCATTTAAGGCTTTTTTCAAAAATGTAGTATGAACCGTGAAGGAATGACAACCATTTCTTCACACAGTCCCCCAACTTTAAGGGCTCATAAGTATTTGGACAAACTAACATAATCATCAATTAAACAGTGTTGCAAATCCTTTACAGTCAATGACTGCCTGAAGTGTTGGACACATAGGCATCATCAGATGCTGGGTTTCTTCCCTGGTGATGCTCTGCCAGCCCTTTACTGCAGCCGTCTGCACTTCCTGCTTGTGTTTTGGGTGTTTTGCCCTCAGTTTTGGCTTCAGCAAGAGAAACGCATGCTCAATTGGATTCAGGTCAGATGATATGACTTGGCCATTGCAGAACATTCCACTTCTTTGCCTTAAAAATGTCTTTGGTTGCTTTTGCAGTATGCTTCAGGTCATTGTCCAACTGCACCGTGAAGCATCATCCAATGAGTTTTGAAGCATTTGGTTGAATCTGAGCAGATAATGGTGCCCCAAACACTTCAGCTTTCATCCTGCTGCTCTTGTCAGCAAGACAAGACTTCACTAGAATAAATACAGAGGGTTTATCACAAGATGCAAACCATTGGTTAGCCTTAAAAATGGAAGGCCAGATTAGAGTTTGTCAAAAACCATCTAAAAAGCCTGTACAGTTGTGGAACAGCATACTATGGACAGATAAAACAAAGATCAACTACCAGAATGATGGGAAGACAAGAGAAGGAAGAAGGGAAGGAACTGCTCATGATCCAAAGCACACCACCTCATCAGTGAAGCATGGTGGAGGTACTGTTATGTCATGGCCATGTATGGCTGCCAGTGGAACTGGTTCTCTTGTATTTATTGATGATGTGACTGCTGACAAGAGCAGCAGGATGAAAGCTGAAGTGTTTGGGGCACCATTATCTGCTCAGATTCAACCAAATGCTTCAAAACTCATTGGACGATGCTTCACAGTGCAGATGGACATTGACCTGAAGCATACTGCAAAAGCAACCAAAGACATTTTTAAGGCAAAGAAGTGGAATGTTCTGCAATGGCCAAGTCATATCATCTGACCTGAATCCAATTGAGCATGCGTTTCTCTTGCTGAAGCCAAAACTGAGGGCAAAACACCCAAAACACAAGCAGGAAGTGCAGAAGGCTACAGTAAAAGGCTGGCAGAGCATCACCAGGGAAGAAACCCAGCATCTGATGATGCCTATGTGTCCAACACTTCAGGCAGTCATTGACTGTAAAGGATTTGCAACCAAGTATTAAAACTGACTGTTTAATTGATGATTATGTTAGTTTGTCCAAATACTTATGAGCCCTTAAAGTTGGGGGACTGTGTGAAGAAATGGTTGTAATTCCTTCACGGTTCATACTACATTTTTGAAAAAAGCCTTAAATGAAAGCTGAGAGTCTGCACTTTAAGCAGGTATTCATTGTTTCATTTAAAACCCATTGTGGTGGTGTACAGAGCCAAAATGACGACAACTGTATCATTGTCCAAATAATTATGGACCTGACTGTATATAAAAGGACTGTTAAAACAGCAACTGATAAAATCAGATTTAAGTGCGGTGTCTATTTTAGATTGTTCAGGGTGGTTATTGCAGAGAGAATTAAGGATGTCTTGTAGATGTTTTTGGGGGTGGGTGGGACATTATAGCATCTGCCTGATGGCCATAACTGGAAGGACTGGTGGAGGGGGTGAGAAGAGTCTTTAGTGATCAGGATGGCTTTGCATCAGATGCATGTGGTTGGTATTAAAAGATGCCTTACGTCATCTAGGTTCACAAGCTACCATGGTAGTGGTATCTTGCAGCTAGGTAGCTTAAAAAATAAGCACCACAGCCTCTTAAATGCAGTAATATTGCACTCCAGATGTTTTCACCAGGGGGGCCACTACCCACATGCCAATCCCCACCTCCATTGGGAGCTCCACTGTATATATCATTAATAAAATATCTTCTCTAAAGTAGAAGTTTACATTGAAAACAGTAGTTCAGCCAAAAAAAAAGTCTTTTCTTGAGCTTTCAACCACCTCTTAAAGTTTTGCCTCTAAAAAATTGAGATGGGATTGTCTTTTTTTGACAATTCAATAATTAAACAAATTAATACTAAATATAATCATTAGATGCAGCCCTATATAAACTTAGATAACGCACACATTTTCTAAAGAACAGTGAGTCAATAATATTTTACATGCAAAGGCAGCAATACACAGCAAAGTATTGTTTCATGGGGGTAAATGAAAGTCTGTCTCAGCTTAAGTCAGCAATTAATTCAATGTGTCATTTTGCAGAGAAAGGATGTTTGGATGAATGGTGTGTGTGTGTGTGTGTGTGTGTGTGTGTGTGTGTGTGCGTGTGTGTGTGTGTGCGTGTGTGTGTGTGTGTGTTGTGACCCACTTTATCCACGGCTCTGGAGCCTCCCACATGAAGCTGCAGCCAGGAAATTGTGGTTGCCTAGCAAGTTTTTACATCCACGGTGCAAAGTTTGAAGACGTGTTGCTCGGCTGCTGTCTGAGCTCCAAACTACAAACTCTAAGCAAGTATTATTAAAACACTATTTCCCCCGTCGAGGTCCAGGTGGCAACACTGACGGTGCAAGATGTCCGTCGCGGGAATTAAGAAGCAGTTTTACAAAGCGAGTCAGGTAAGAGCGACTTTTTACAACGTTAGCCGGTAGCTTAGCCGACGCTAGCTAACGTAGCTAACACTATCGTTACTTTTACTGCGAATTTACGCTAGCTTCAAGCTAACGTTAGCTGGTTTACCAAAATGGGAATCGTATCAGGGTAGTTAGCGATAAGACGTGTTTTCGTGGCCAAAAACGAGCTATATGAAGTGTTTTAACTTGTTGAAAAACTATTCGAGTAGCTAAATTGTTATTAAACTCCTCAACAACTGTCAAACGTGTTGGCTTACAGTAACGTAACGTAAACTCTTGACGTTACGTTAATGTAGCTAACGCTAATGCAAAGTTAGCAAGTTGACGTTAGCTAACGTTACCTTAAGTGACGCTAATGTTAAAGCTTGCTATTTGGCAGTGGCTTCCATAGTAGATGTTTGTCCTAATTTAATGTATTGAAGTATTTAACTAACGTTACTTTCCCACATTGTTGAGTAAATAGGTTAGTGTTAGTTACTTAGTTTGTTAGTTTTTGCAAGTTTAGTTCAACTGCTGTACTTTGTATTTCACTAAATCAACCTTTAAGTACAAAATCAACCCTGATTTGTCGAAGTTAAAGACTGACACAAAAGTCGGGCATTTAAAGGATGAGTTTCTGGTTTGATGGAGATGAAATATGTATTTGTGGGGGCTTGGTTTCGTCGTGTTTTGCTGTTATGTTAGCAGCAGACAGCAGGTAGATTCATCACTCAGGTGTTAATACCTTAAGTGATGGCCATGTTTGTTATCTCTAAAGTGTTGGATTGCACAATGTTTTCAAAACACTCGTTTCAAAACAACTTGGCAAATGTGATACTGTCATCTCTTAAGTGTGTGCTGTGTTTCCAACAATATTACATGACTGACCTGTAAGACTTGGACACTATCATGAAATGCATATTCAAGATTTTACAAGTAAGGAAATAACTTATATCTAACATAAAGAATTCATAATGTCATAAAGGCACTGATATTAATTCCACGTTCTTGTTTTTAACATTGGTGATACTGTTTCCAAAGCTAAACATCTAATTTTGGAACATAACTCCCATTTTCTTTGAACACTCTCAGCGTGACAGACCAAGCAAGCATGTTAAACTGAAAGCACAAGTTAACACTGATGCCAGATGGATCTGAAGGCTCAGAGATGCAAGTCAAATATTTATTCAAATGGAAGTGACTTTATGTCATGTCAGTTAAATGTCTGACTGCCAGATTGTGTACAAACATTCACAGTAGTATGAAAATCTTGGATTTATTTAGTCAGGTTTCTCTTGTGCATCCAAATTTCAAATGGCACTTGTCCCTCTCAGGAAAGAAATATTACTGTTGGCTCTCGAGGCAGTTAAAAGTCAAACCCACCACCACAAACATGAAGCCCAGCAAGACATGGCCTGCAAAACCGGCAGCATATGTTTTGATGACACCTTTCTTGCAACAGGTCCTTGCTTTGCCCCAATGTAATGTGACATGCAAGTGATAGCTCCTTTCTCAGTGGGTGTGTAATGGAATCCTAGTAATGTGGGTACTCTGCCCAAACCAGCTTCCAGCTCTTAAGACACAGATGTAGTCAGTACACAATACAGCAATAAAAACAAGCCAGAGGGAGTGCACAGAAATCTATACGCCATAAGCTTTGGCAAAACTTAAGCAGTGTATGGATTACACCACAGTACAGTGGTACTGGCCGACCCCCAGTGTGGAAGTCTCAACTACTGGGACATATAATATAGCTGTTAACATATAGGACCTACACTAAACATCTTGCCCTCTATTAGCACAGGCCTGGACAACAAGGCTATTAAGACAAATTAAACAGACACAGGCTATAAAACATCCAGGCTATGACGAGAAATAAAACAGGGTGGAGGTGGATAATCAGCTCTGTAGTGTTAGTTGCACAACAAGCTCCACGTCATACCGCCATAAAAATATATTTGAGTCAATTAATGATTGAACAGAATGTCAGCGAAGGTACTAAGGAGACATATACAGCTGATATCGTGCACATACTATTTAATATTGTGCACCTGCTGTTTCATTTTATTTCACAACATGTAATGTGTTTTGCTTTTGTCATTGACCAATAAGACTTAATGCTCTGTATCAAATGTCCTCATGACTTTCTGTCTTTTTAAACACTATATATTTGACTCATTTAGATTTATCAAAGTAACAAAGCGTGTAAATAATTGAAGGGTATACTATGCAGGATTGAATGTTACTCTCTGTGAAAGTGAAAGTAAAAGCTAACCCCAAGATTCACTCTCATTTGGCATATCGCCTCACTGTATTTGGGTTTCTTCAGCGCCGTGCCTCTTGGACACCTGCTGCTTATGGCTTGGTACATGGTTGCTACCCTTTTTGTAAAGCCAAGATCTCATCTGAGCACTGTTGGGGTGGGTACACACACGTCATAGACTGACATGACAGCTTCCCAAGAGTGAAGCCAAGCCATCTTGATTGCCCTCTGTTTGCTGTCTGCATTAAAGGTCATAAACCATGTTAAATGAATGTGATCAGCTGCTGTATTGGTGTTTAAAATGCATGCTCCGCTCACAGAAAACTTCACTGCATATCAAAGCAAGTGCTTCCTAAACTAACAGCCAGCCTTTACTTTGGAAGGGTTGTCCACTACCTGTGCACCCTGCAGCTGCAGCCTGCAAAAAACATATCCTGAATGTTGCAACTGCAGACGGACAAAATGAATATCATCAGTTTTCAACAGTTATCATCTGTTGACTGGACACAAGAGCAAATCATATGCAAAGTGTACATGAGATTTGTGTCTGTGACGCAAAGAAACACAACTAATTTGTTAAACCACCTAAAAAAACACCACAATCTGCAGTATGATAAATGCATGAAGGCCAGGAAGAATAACTTTGCGAATGTTACCCACTTGTTGTTGTCAACCCCCGTCCTTGTTGCCAGAGAAAATGCACTGAATTTAGGTGAAGAAGAACCTCATTTTAAGTCTTATTTTGATGGAAATTGATAATTAGCAGGGATATGGTACAAGGTAAAAGTGAAAGCAGTGGTCTGTCGATTTAGGGTAAAAAAGTTTTGGTACAATTTTATTTATAATTTGCTTCAAGGAGATGCACTGTGAAAAAGAACCAATCATATTTTGATACAAATGTTTGTACATTACCAGAAATTTAGCACTACATTGAAGTTAAAGTGGCGCTGTGTTTATTTGGGCCTAAATGTCAAAGTGCAATAAAAAATATTTTGTCCCTAAAAACTGAATAATCGTGATGAGTAGTCGTGATCTTAATATTTCTCAAACTAATCCTGATTATCATTTTGGCCGTAATCATGCAGCCCTAATTTAAGTTAGTTGATGCTACAAAAAGGGGGTTTGACGTCAAGTGTGCGCTCACAATCAATGGCGCTGCTTGTGATTGGTCAGACGGTGTATGGGTGGGAGCTCGACACCACACAGGTTACCACGGCATGGACTCTGGCTTTAAATGACATCACAAGCTCACGATGGAAGCGGCTGTATCGGGAGATATTTTGGCTGTGTTTTTGAGCAGTTGGAGGAAAGTGGAGATGCGGCAGAAGGCAGAGTCTCTGCAGATAAATACACTGTCACACACTCCTTGTGGGTCATACGTGGTGGTGCTGAGGGATTATTTCTGTATGACTCCATACTTTTTTTTTTTTTTTTTTAAATAAAACCCTGCATGTGTGTTTATTTAAAGCTAAATCTCATAGCTTGGTTTTTCAAGACAGATCACATACCATAGTCAGACTGAGATGGGCAGCTTTATTAGTCATGTAGGACAAATGTGTGCTGGCGATTATGAAGCCAGATGGGGCGTTGGAAGTGTGTTTGTGCTTGGATTTTACGACACTACATGCCACAATTTAACAGCTGGTACCAAGAGATTCATTAATTGCAATTAAAATGCTGTTTATTAGACTTCATAATTGGGGAACATGTGGGGCTAAATTATGTCCCGTGAATCAATTGGCAATCAGTGCTTAGGGCATTTTCAGAGCCACTGACTGTTTCATACATAATAACTTTACCAAACCTTTGTACTGTACAAGCTAGAGAGATTGATTGATCCATCTGGTCGTAGAGTTTTATGTGCAGTGTGGTGCCAACAGCTGCACCGAGTTGAACTAAGAGAGAAGACGCACACACAATGAGTCTCTGTTTGGCCTGCCAGCCAACTGCTCTGGATTTGAGAGTTTGTTGCTCTGGAGGAGAAATGGAGAACGTATGTACCATGTGTGAGTCAGGATATGAAGTTAGTGTGTGTGTTCAGTAAAAGTATCCATGGTTGTGGTTGTAGCGTAGGAAACTGCAGTGTGTCTGCTGACCTGGATGGAAAAAGGAAAACCCTCAGTAGAATTCTTTATGGAACGCAGGCTCTGGGTAGAGAGGAAAGTCCAGTGTTCAGCATTCATTCCCCCATGCACACTTGAGGAGTTTCCCCCACTGACGGAAAACGTGGCCATGTCTTGGAATTTGAGAACTGTGTTAACCAGGCCTGGAAAAAATGGTGGAAATTATTAAATATCCATTAAAGTTTGGAAACAGAGAGCGATGTGGCTGTGAAGGTCTGGTGTAAGCCTCTTTAACAGCAGGTTCTCACGTTGTCCTTGAACAAACCTCTTATCCAGAAATTCTGCCCTTTAGTTAGCCTCAAACTTGAAAATGCAGAAGTGGAAGACAGTTAGAAATGTTTTCACAATATTATTAATAAAAATTTAGGGCTTAATCGGTCTTATTTTCCTATATGACCATGTTGTCAAGTTAGTCACGGAGCAAAAAATGTGGAATCCTAAATGTATTTATCCATTAGTTGGCTTCATTATTCGAGTTGCTCTATGTTCACAGATGGTGAGTGAGAAGGTTGGAGGTGCAGAGGGAACCAAACTGGATGAAGACTTCAGGGATCTCGAGAGGGTAACATACATACATTTTAAGAAAGTATCTGTACTAAAAATGTAGAATAACAATATGTTGTTTTGTTTCACTGAAAGTACTCACTTAACACTCTCAAAGGTGTACAACTCGGCATATTCACACACATATAGATAATTGTCTCTCCTAAATCTGTGCCAACAGAAAGCAGATGTAACCAGCAAAGCAGTGGTTGAAGTTATCAACAAAACATCAGAGTACCTCCAGCCCAACCCAGCAACGAGAGCTAAGCTTTCCATGCTCAACACAGTGTCCAAAATCCGTGGGCAGGTCAAGAGTCCGGGCTACCCCCAGCCTGAAGGCCTCCTAGGGGAGTGCATGACAAAATATGGACGGGATATGGGCGAGGACACCAACTTTGGTAAGAACAGTGGAGGCAGTTAGAGGGGAGAAGAGATATGTATGTTACGGTGCATATTTGTTCAGGGGTTGCCCATGTATCTACTTAAAGAGGCAACAGATAGGATTCCGTTTTTTTTTTTTTTTTTTTTTAGCTTGGCGCCACGTAGCGTCAGTGGTGTTGCGTCACACTGTCGCAACAACCAAATTGACCGTGGGGATCAAAGATAATCAATAATATGACTCTCTAAATTAAATAAAATGTAGGCTGTAAAGCCACCAGTATACCTCTCTGTATATGTAGAATGAGAAGGTGTGTGGACACTCTACTAAATAAATGAGTAAAGAGACTGAGCAACAACTATCAGATTTATCTGAAGAAAAAACAAATAGTAATGCAAATAATAATACCAGAATGTACAGTACCAGTACAAACAACTCACAGTAAATTATACCAATATGTACAGTATCAGTACAAACAACAGTGGACACAGTGGAATTATACCAACATGCACATGTAAACAGTCCCGATTCTAGAATAAACGGTACCGTATGGAAACGATACAGCCGGTTGGAGCTCAAATTGAATGGGAAACAAAGTTCAGTGTTCACTTAGCTAGGCGTAACCTAGCTGGGCGATGTCCATCGATAGCTGCCTCCGTGAGAAGAGGAGGGGGGGGGGGTATCACTGTCCAAGGTCTACGGCAACGAGGATGTCAGCTGACCAACACTCGCTACCCGGCCCCTGGTTGCGGAGATTTGCGATGCTGGCCAGCTAGGAATGAACTAGCAGCCAGTACAGTATATATCTCAGATCTACGTATCTCTCGTCTAGCTAACATTTAGCCATGTTACGTACTGATCCATTTGAAAGAAAGCTAGCTGGACATCGGTTTTGAAGCCTCTCTGGTCATGGAGCTCCCTCCCTCCTGACTGAGGTTTACTCTTGTTTTTCCTCTTCTTTCATCACTCTCCTTTTTGGTCTTCTTTGCCTCCTCAGACAGAGGAGCTCATTTCTTTTGCTAGGCCGTTTTTCACTTGTCTCCAAATTTTGTCCGTCTGCCATTGTGCTCGTGACTCAACTATCTCATGCCCAACTCCTCATAAGGACCCTCTCCAGTCCTGAGTGGCTGACAGACCAATTTCGTAAAACATGACGCATTTCCTGCCATAAAGCAGATTTTTTCCGCGAAATTTCACCCCTGGTGGCAGAAGCCTATTGCAAAGATTGCAAAGCCACTAAGTAACCTATGTAAACGCTGACAGTCTGATTTTAATGTGGCCACTACCCTGTGCAACCCACATTATTGATATAATGATATATTTAGGAAAAGATGCTATCTGTTGCCTCTTTAAAGGAGCTATATGTAAGAAATCTAAAGCAAATAGTCATAAAATCCTCCTAATATGTCACAGAGACTAAGGAATAATGTTCAGATAACATACTGATCTCACCGACAACAATAGTACAACCAGAATATTCGCATTTGAAAAACATTTTTGCGGTCTGCAAATCATGTTTATGTTTTGAATTTGTGTTTTGGCCTGTTGCACCACCCACCGCCGTCTACCAGTCACGCAGTCAGTAGAGTCTCAGCATCAGTTACAGTTATGACTGAGCTACAGCAGCACAGCAAGCAGCATTAGCAGCGTCCCAGTACATAGCATGAACATAGACTGTATAAGAGCATGAGCAGCCGGCTTCTCCTCAGCTGTATCCCGGCAGCAGCGTTAGCAGCAGAGAAGCCGGACTTGCTTGAACGGTCCGCTGGAAAACCGAAGATCAAGGACACGACGACGCAGCCCTGCTGCGGCAGCCGCCCGTGGGCAAACAAATTAGTCTCCAGCGTGCCGCTGTCCAGCAACCTCGAATCTGTAGGGAAGGGGGAGCAGACATGACTCGCAGCAGTATTTTGAATTTGAGTGCAGCCAACCGTTTTGGCCACATTCTTACATACAGCGCCTTTAATATGCTAACAGGCATCATGATGACTCGCAGTACCTAATGATGGTATTTTGCATGTGTGTGTATTGCAGGTGGGGCTCTAATAGATATCGGGGATACAATGAAGAGGATGTCCGAGGTCAAGGACTCTCTGGATATTGATGTGAAGCAGAACTTTATTGACCCACTGCAGGCAGTCGCTGAGAGGGACATCAAAGACATTCAGGTAGAATCAAAGAGGCGGTATGCTTCTGCACGTACAGGTCTGGCATTGACTAATGAACTCTGCAGTCATAGTGTGAAAAAAGTATTAACTGCCCTGGCGCATAAAGGACGAACTGCATGCAAATGTTTGACTGATGCAGTTTTCTCCAAACGATCACACACAAGTGAAAATACTTGGATATTCATATGCTGTCATCTGTTAAACTTCCTCCTCCTAATCCCAATTCTTTGACCCCCCTCAGCACCACCTGAAGAAGCTGGAGGGCCGCCGTCTCGACTATGACTATAAAAAGAAACGTCAAGGTAAAATCCCAGATGAGGAGATCAGGCAGGCCCTGGAGAAATTCCACGAGTCCAAAGAGATGGCTGAGGCCTCCATGCACAACCTGCTGGAAACAGATGTGAGTCACCTGTAGACTAAACTGGATTCACTTTGTGTTACAGATGGCACACCAAGCCCTACTGGCCTTGATTATAAAACACTGCAAACGCTTCTATTACTCTTAAAACTGCTGGTTGATCTAGCGCCTTTTTTTTCTTTAATTAATCCTGTTGCCAATAAAGAAGGCTAAGTGATGTCAGAATGTCCAAAGCCAGCAAACATTGTTATGTTTGATATTATTATCCGTAATAGGCTTAAAGTGATGAATGAGCCATCTGATTCAATCAGTGCCAGTGGAAATGCTGCGTTACTGTGATGGGTTGTTTGATAGATCAGTAGAGTTCACACAAGATACTGGACAAAAATTCCACTTACACACACCAGCATCTGGCTTTTATCTTTAGTGGGACAGGTTACAATCCGCATTCATTCCTGTGACAGATGACTCTGATTAGCTCCAGTAAGCAGTGATGGAATAATGACAACCAGGTGGATGTGCTAAATTTAGCCCCTTCTCTGACTTGATGCAATGATGCCACAAATTCACAAATTCACAAATTCTGTCCATCTCAGTCCCCAGCTAATTTAGAATAATGTTAGAGCATTTCTTGGGCAGAATTTGAATGGATTTAAAAACCAAGTAACCACTGTAACATATTCACTTACCTCCATGCTGCTTCTACTGTTTACTACAGAGGCATACTCATACACTGAAGAGCTGTGTGCTGGCAGTGGCAAGTAATTCATTGCCTATTATTAGCAGGTTTTCCCATGTTAAAAAAACTGCATACACATGTTAATTTTGGTGAAAAAAGGGTATTAAAAATTTAGTGGGAGCTGGGAAAATATCATGGGTGCCAACATCTCCTCTCTAGCAATATTAGTTTTTAGTATAGTGACAGGAGAAATACATTGACTGCAATCTGATTCACTAATTGTGTTGTGATTAAAAGTATTTATGGCTGAAGCAGATGGAGTTGAATTGGCTCACTCTATAATGGTGCATTAATGCAGTGAATGAATCAGGGTTTCCCACACATTCATTTATTCGTGGCAGCCCGCCACAATAAAAACAGCTGCCGCCACATTTTGATTTTGTCGATGGACCGTTCATTAGGAGCGCTGTTGGAATATATATACTGATAAGTTATTCATTGCACCAGTCTCTTGTGGCACAGTGTGGGACACACTGTGAATTTGATGCTCTTAGGAATCAGACAAACCCAAAATAGAGGAGCAAATTAAGAAAAAAATTAGCCTAGATAATCAGCGTTAGAACTGTATAAAATATGACAGCCAGAGAAACAAAAATTCTTCTGTTAATGTACCTGTTAATATTAATTGTGGCTGGTGCAAATGCATGTTTCTTGGCTGCTCACAGCCTCTCAGCTAGCATATCCTTTTTACATCTTCAAGGACAGTATGTGTCAGTTGGCGTGCCTTTGTTTTTTATTCACAGTGACTTGCACTAGTGTGAGCTTGTCAAACCTGTTTGTCTTGTTATTTACCTTTTTCCTTCCCGCCATTATGAGGTTTTTACGTGAAGTTACTGTGACAAACAACAGTGACATAATGATAAACAAACAAGAATGACGAGCTGGGAATGCAAATGGTTAACCAGTAAATAATGCTCTCAAGGGCCACTGCTGTTTCTGTGTTTTGTCTTGTTCTAAAATAGATTTTCTGTGCATGTAGGTGGAGCAGGTGAGTCAACTGAATTCTTTGGTGGAGTCTCTGCTGCAGTACCACAGACAGGCCGCGCAGCTCTTGACGGGGCTCTCTGAAAAACTGAGCGAAAGGTCAGAGCCATGACTATTTGTGGAAGATGGCATGCCTTTTGTATGTTGAGGCTGTGTCCTCTGGCTGGTGATGAGGGATGATTCAGCAGCAGCATTTTCTTTTACCCATCTGATTACAAGTCATGAATGTGAAGGGGCAGCTGATGCTAAGCACAGATCACTTCTTTTTTACTGAACAAGATAGATTTGAATCATTATCTTTGGTTCTTTAGGCACAGATAGATGATATAATCTGCTTTTCCCTCATTACAGAATTAAAATATCACTTGTACTTTGGAATAATGGAATAAAGTTGACTTGTTTTGTATTTAATAGTTAACTTGTTTAGTTGTAATTGGATTATAGCCTATTAGAAAATCTCTTTGTTGAACCTGTCTCTATCTGCTTTGGTGAGCTCAGAGTGGTGATGGTTTTTATTCTGATTGTGTGCAGGATGATGGAGGCCCAGTCTCGTCCAAGACGTGAATACACACCCAAACCCAGACCAGTCTTTGACTATGGAGATGCAGAAAACTCCAATGGAGGATACTCACCGGCTGCATCAAGCCCTCCAGCTTACTCACCTGGTAAACTTACATTTTTGTACCTTTTGTAAGAGTGTGCTTGATAGGGGTGGGAGATACGGCCCTAAAATGATATCACAATATTTCAGGATATATTTGCGTGAAGATATTCTTGATGATATGACAAATAACTAAAAATAAATATATATTTTTTATCATTATTGTGAATGAATTGGTATAGCACACCACTAGTGCATGAACATCTGTGTCAGGGTTTCTGTTAGCTGGTACTGACTATTTTTCATAGCGAAAATCTGTTGAAGTCCAACATATTTAAGTCTCTCTGGTCATCATGTCTGATGAAAATGATTCCCTCTGAGAATATGTAAGCCCAACACTGTGTCCTAACAGCAAGCAGGCATCTGACTATCACATTGCATCACGTAACATCATAAAATTCTCCTTCCTCACTGACTCTGTTAAGTATGAATTTCTGTTACAACATGTAAACAGACCACATACCATCAGCTGTGCGCTTGAGTTCAAACAGGAAATCTGACCACTTAAAGGATGAGTGAGTGCTCGCTGTCTTTCTACGTTTGTATTTTTTAAACAGAAAACCGACAATTTATATTGTGATATTTACTAGAAATAACATACAATATATTTAGCGGCAAGCAGCTTGAAATTAGCAACGGTCATTACCAAAAACATTCTGCTCCTAGGCGATCTCCCTCCAGCCAGCTGCCACCATATTTAGGTTTTGTAGTAAAATGAGAAGGTAAGGTACAGATAACTCCTCACTTCAGCTTCACAAATCAGCCTTATCCGCTGCAGCGCTTTCAGAGTATATGACAGGAATAAATAGAAACAGGGCAGTGACAAAAGTTCAGCTCAGGCCAGATAGGGCATTAATTAAACAATGAAATCAAATTGATTTGTTGCTGACGGTCTCTCCAGTCACATTCAGTTAGGACACAGTGTAAAGCAAAAGGAATTTTTTTGTTATTATTCACATAATATATATCAGTTCATGCTTATTAATTGTTTTTAAACTCGATGAAGACAGATAATATTTGACTGGAATTTTTGCCATTTGTGCGGGATGTTGAAATCTTCGGGACATATGAACCCGCACCAGTTTTTTCTGATGGAAACCTTGATCTGTGTGTGTGTGTGTGTATATATATATATATATGTACAAGGCCTACCAGTAGAAGGCATTTGAGCAAGACAATCTCATTTGTTAGACTGATGTGTCTTTCCCTCTGCGACATTAACCAGCCCGAGTGCAATATCAAGGTCCATCCTTCCAAAGAACCTCCATCAAGAGCAGACCGCGTGAGTGAGACAGATGAAGATAACGTGTCACTTACGCAGAACTAGAAAGTTTCACTACTTTCACTGACTCTGGCGCACGTCTGTGTGGTAGAGAGGTGTATGCATGTCTGTGATGGTGAAGTATTCGACTGTTATTGCTGAATGGTGTTTGTTGGGTCCACTGTGTGAAGTCCCCACAAGGAGACGGGGCTTGTTAAGGTGTGAATATTCTGTCTGACCAAGGCTGCAGATACATAGAAATGTCAGCAAACCAATTTTCAGCTTTATTTTAAGTTAACTTACTGACTGACTGTGGTGTTTCTAATCAGAGCTGTCGGCCAAATATCACCTGCAGTCATGGGTTTTGCTGAATTGTATGTACCTGTATGTCTGCCTGTTCACTAACTGATGAAGCTTCTGAACCTCAAGAAAAATCACTACATGCCACATTGTTTATTTTAAAGCTCAGGAGGTAAATCTAATATTATCCACCTCTGAACACAGACAGGAGAAAATAAATGTCTCAGGCCCAAAACTTGAACATGGCCATTATGGCTGGAATAAAATCGTTAACAGGGTTTTTCCTGGCTCAAAATGAAGCCTTCTGTGGCACCGTCCTGATCATGTGCACACACCCACGGGTGCCTGTGCTCAGTGGCCTCAACTGGCTCAAGCAAACGCCTTTTTACAAGCAACATATTTAAGCAGTTCTAATAATTATGTGTGAAGTGATTTTGAGGACACTACGCTGTGTTAGAGTGTAGTCGTTGAATATTTTTCTTGGTGTTGGGCTTTGATCTCACAGCTAGCTGCACAGAGAACAACTTTATGGTCCAGCTTAGAGGTCGAAAATTAGGTTTTCTACTTTATTACGGTTGGAAAGAAGCATTGTTGGTGTTCTAACAATATTTTGTTCATGTGTTACTGATCCAGGAAGTTGGAATATGTGAATTATTTTCCAACTTTACACAACTGCGTAGAGCTGCACAAATGCCAGCTGACGATATGAAACTATATTGAAACCTCCAGTGGCACAAAAAAGAAGCCCCAGTGCACTGTGCTGATTGTGATACACATCAGCGTAATGCCGCAATCCCAGTTACAGTTCCACCAAGTGCAACACATACTAGAAAATAGTGTTTCCCACAAAGACACCAGAGTGTCAGAGTTTTGTCAAGAGCTGAAGGCGGGATGAAATTTGATTGAGGCAGACAGCTCGTAATTCTCTATGCAGGAAAAACCCTGGGTAAGCTATGAAACGTGCCAGTACAATGATTTTGACCTTGAGCTTCAGAAGGATTCTTTCTTACCACAATGATGACTAACTCATGAATGCCTGTTCTGTTCCAGAGCCCTATTGGAAAACATACTTGTGACAAAGGACATACTAATCACACTGGAGGGGAATTATCAAATATTCTTTTCACAAAATGACAGTATTTGTTCTGTCTCCCTCCTCGCATCCCTCTACTTTTTGTGTCTCTCTCTGCAGCTGAGCCGTGCTGCAAAGCCCTGTATGACTTCGAGCCGGAGAACGAAGGAGAGCTGGGTTTCCACGAGGGTGATATCATCGCTTTGGTCAGTCGAATCGATGAGAACTGGTTCGAGGGATCCATTCGTGGCAAATCTGGATACTTCCCCAACAACTATGTTGAAGTGGTGGTGCCTCTGCCACACTGAAAACAGCAAGGCAAGAGGGGAGGCAGCAGGGTGGAGAGGATGAAACGGGGGAATGGTAGTAGATTAGCAGCTCTCAATAACCAAAAGATTTATTTTCTTGATTGCAATAAAAGGGTAAACATCTCCAGACAAGGACCTAATTTGTACCTAGGAGTTATTTGAGTGAAGAGCTTTTATATTATTAGTATTATTATTATTATTATTATGTAAAGATTTGGGTTTTTAAAAACAGTAAGGATGGAGGAATGTTCAGTCAGAATAATGAAGGCGTAATTATTGGGTGCACTTACCATATCCCGAGTCTTTACATTCACTCTCTATGCACCTGTGCACTTTGTACACTACACCTCCATCACCAGGACTAATGAAGAGAATCACGACAGGATGACATCTGTAACACACGTCAGCAGTATCCACAAACACTAAGAAGTGCAACTACTTTATTCATAGATTCTTAACCTATTTTATTCACAAAGTGGCATTTCTTGTTCTGTGGATTGTTCATATCGGTACTACACACATGCATGTACACGCATGCATTCTGCTTAACACTGTTTTATGCACTCCAAGTTTTCACTCCTGTGCCTTCAGGCTTTAGTGCTGTTCTCATCGTGGACTAGTTGGAGTCAACATGGAGGACTGGGCTTGATGTTTGAGACTATCCTCCACTGCCACCTGGTGGTCGTAGAGATCACTCTTGGCTGTTGGTTTGAGTGGCACTGTCACACAGCTTCTGTTATCTTGTACCAAATCCACGTTGTGTGGCTTTTCTATGTTGCAGGGTGTTTTTTTTTTATTCCAGATATACATCAAAACTTCAATAACAGCTGGAGCCAGTCAGCAAGTGACATTGACTGACTGCTGCATTAAAGAGACAGTTCACCCCAGAAAAATACATGTTTTTTCTCTTACTTGTGGCGCTATTTATCAGTCTAGATTGTTTTACTGTGAGTTGCCAGTTGTTGAAGATACCAGCCATAGAGATGTCTCTCAAGAAATCATGACCTGGTTACTCAAGATAATCCACAGTCCTTGTTGTGAGCAGTTTCATGTAGGAACTATTTTCTTTCTACTCTGCTACACCTGCCAACCAAATCACTTTCCAGAAGGAAGTGTGCATCTACTCATGGACCAGAGGCTCGTGCTCATGATGTAAACATTAATGGTGTCCTCCTTGGATGTAACATCAGCTAGCTCAGTGGTGCTACGTCAGCTAGCAGTAGATGCACGCTTCCTTCTGCGCCGTAGTACGGTTGGCGGGTGTAGATCAATAAATAGAAAATAGTTCCTACATGAAACTGCTCACAACAGGGTCTGTGAATTATCTTGAGTAACCCGAGTTTCAGCTATTTGAGAGAAGGCAGACGAACCTACAGCCGATATCACCAACACTTCTCCACTTAGACCAAAACAGTAAAGATTAATAAATAGCACCACGTGTAAGAGGTAAAATATGTATTTCTGATTTTGCGCTGAACTGAACCTTAAATGTTTATTCACTCTTACACCACTGCTAATCAGACACAGTTTTACAAATATTAGCAGTTTATTTAAGACCAAAAAATGTCTTGTAGTTGATTCTAAAAAGCTGGAAGGCATCTAAAAATGTGCTTTTTATTACCTTTATCACACTAATATTTGTGACATCGTCAGTGGTTTTATTCACCTACAGCCTCTCCAGTGTTTCTAACTGCACTCCACTGTCTTCTCCTAGAAGAAAGGTTGCACAGGCTCTCACATTGATGCTGTTTGTCATTAAAAAGAAACATGTTGTACAGCCTCATGTGCACAATGCTGCAAAGTGAAATGTTTCAAATGATTAAATGTCATGTTTTTCCTTTTATTTACTGAATCTGACATTGTGTTTCCATTAGAGTGCAACCCACAGCGATGTAACATGACTCACTCCTGCCCCCAAATATTTTGCAGCGTAATACCAAAGCCATAAGCATCCCTCAGTTTCTTTATGTTCTCAGGCTGCGTTGATACTGCTGGCAGTGTCCCTCACAATGTTTTGTGGGCTTTCACCCAACTGTTTGTCTATTAATTGTCAGTCTGTGATTTGTTTTCCCCCACGGTGCTTGGGTGAGCTTGGCTTTAGTACTCTAAGCTATAATTTGGAGCATGGAAATTAATCTGATGTGTATTTGGGTGTGTTTGTACCTGCCTCAGTCTTCAGGCTGAAACTGTGCACCAGGCCTGACAGAAAATGCTGCATAACTATCTCCAAACTATTGTGCACAGAATTTACTAATAATGAGGGAGGCACAATGGCCGGTTTCAGTTTCAATTAAGTCTTTTACATGCTGACTATGAACTGTGAGGGGTTGTGCTGTTCACTAAAATACCAACTTTCTCCCCTTGTCGTGATCCCCTTGTTAGTCCGCCTCCCGCCCTACTCATCTATCCCATCTCTGTTTAAACCGGGAGCGGAACAGACAGGTCTTTTCAGCAGAGAAGGGCACACAGCAGTGGATTATCCTCCTCCCTCCCCCACTGGTCTTTATTCACCACCTGCCCCTGTACCCCGACCCCCTTTCTCATTATCTGCCCCCATCCCAATCCCATGGTGCCTCTGGAGTCTCCTGGTCCACTCCTGGAATAATCTCCTCATTGTTATCATAGTATGTGCGTCTTAAAATGCTCTGTTTGCATGTGTCCTATGTTACTCATGTTATAGGGCCTGGGTATTCTGCTGTGAGGAGTAGTAACTCTGCGGTTCAGGTGTGGGTTTACATGCCTCATTACACTAAATCAAAAGAGAGTTTCGGAGGGGAGATGAGGGTCAGGGGTTCAGGTTGAGCTATTATGCAGCTTGTATAATATTGACGATGAATAATGTTGAGGAACAAAGGGCGAAGATCAATGTTTGTGTGCCGCTGCTGTCACAGCTGAAATAGTTGTTAAACGCTGCAACTGACATTTATTGCAACACTACATGCTGCAGCGGCTCGTGTTGCACCCACAACCAATGAGTGTCTCAACTGAGCAATATTGATGAATGAAGTATTATCGGACTTTAAAGCTTTATTTTATTATGCACAATCTTAATGGAGTTTCCTTTATTAAAATGTTATTGCTTTGCATGTCTTGAGCTTCTGTGTCTTCCGCAATGCCTTATTTTTGTAACTGTGACACTGTGGGGAGACTAAAAGTGGGATTATCCTGGATTATCTTTAGGATATATGGATTACCTCTGTACTAAATGTAATCTTCTGTGTATTGTATATTTTTGTTACTGTGTAAAGGGGAATGGATGCTGTTCATTCGCTTCTTCAAATAAATATTGAGTAATTTGGATCCCAGTGTGTTTTTGCAGCTTTAATGGTGAATTTATAGATGCAGGAAATATAAAGGCAGGATTATGTCTTTTTACATGCACTTGACTCATTTGAATCATTGATATTTGCATAACAGCTCATTTTTTGCTCAATAAACATGTCTTTGAACATTTATCCCCCAACCATCCAATTTCTAATCTGCACAAGCATCCGTCTGCATGATCCCCAGACACAGCAGGCTACACCAGCCAGCTGTTGGATTATTGCCACAGCACTATCTCATCGGGGAAGGCGTGTCACTCCCCGAATTACTCAGCGCCCCTTTGTCCTCGGTCGGTGCCCAGCCAGCGACACTCATGGCGGCTGCACCCGTCAGGCAGCGCTCCGGGCCAGGGGGACCCCGGGCGCAGCTCCCGCCCTGCTACTACGAAGGCTACCTGGAGAAGCGAGGACCGAAAGAAAAGGTAGATCCACCCGGTGCAGTGCCATGTTGTTTCCAATGCATGCTGTAGATAACGGTGGTCAGTGTATAATGTGTGTGTGTGTGTGTGTGCAGCGCTTACCGGCTGATCCCCCATTCCCAGAGAGCTGTCAACTTCCTTATTGTGTTAGAATGGGCGAGGCGAGACTGTGCACTGGAGCTGCTGGGGATTGTTTCACATAGCGGATCACAGATTTGTTGTGCTGTTAAATCTGGTTTTGCAACACATGGACAGCGTGTAACAATTTATAAACGAATAACGGGGCAGGCGGTGAATCCTGGAAACCCGATTGCTGTCAAAACATTGCATGGCATGTAAATCACATCACTTGAACGATGTGTGGCTGTTATCTTGATACCCAGACATCTGTGTCACATACAGTGTGTCTTCATGACCCAGAATTCAATGCTGACTCAGATAAATAATCATCATTTTCTGATCCTTGATAACCAATATCTCAAAGTTGCATACAGTAAAATTGACAATGTGACTCAATAACTCATGCATTTTATTTATATATAAGCTGACAAAAACACACTGGGATATCCTTGCCTCCCCCCACACCCTCCCTCTCATTAGGCTCATTTTAAGGCAATATAGACGTGTAATATGAGCGTGGCTCAGGTGCAGGGTAATGCACTGATCCATGGCCACAGATTGACAGCAGCTGTGACTCACTTCCTATTCATCTCTTGGGACAGGAAGCATGCACTACCAACACTGAAAAGAAAAAAAAAAGAACATCAGTGTATCTCCTTATTTACATGTGTCTATTTCTGTGTGTTACAGGCGTCCAGACGACTGTGGACCTGCCTGTGCGGGAATTCTTTGTATTTCTTCAATAATGCCAAGGACAGTCATGTAAGTGTCAGATTGTGCACATGTTGTTGTTTGTGCACCACAGTGTATTGACACTGACAGGTGTTAATGTGTGTTACAGTACGTAGAGAGGCTGGATCTCAGTGGGTTTGTGTCCCTGAAGGACGACTGCAGCCGGGACAGAAACCTGGAGGCAGCCAGACTCATCCTGCGCATGAAGGATGGAGAAACCAAACTCACAGTAATGCTACTCAACACACACACACACATTCAAATTAACACTTTTTACAAGGTGTAACAGCACTATTGTCTCTTCCAGGCACCTAACTTGGAATCAAGGGAGCTGTGGAAAGGTTTCCTCTACTCCGTTGTTGATGTAAATGTTCATCTTCTGCACACCTGCCTCACCTGCATCAATCTGTCTGTCTCTTGTGCCATCTTAAAAATATTCTCCTCTCTGTCTAATCACAGCTGAATGTACCATCCTGTCTCACGTTGCTGCCGGGCCAGCTGCAGATGCTGAAGGAGGTGGTGGACAAAGAAAGGTCCAGACGGAGAACTCGCACTCCCACGCGTGCTCCTCCCTCGCCTCTCTCCGTGCCTTTAGTAGGAGAAATCCCAGCGTGAGTTCTTCTCGGTGTTAAGTTTTGAGGATTCACTGAAGCTGTAGCACCTTTAAAGGAATACTCCTCCCCTAAATGACCACTTGTATATCAATTACTCACTCTGTTATGTTGAGTTCATGAAGAAAACTGTTTTTCTCACATGCCGAACGAAGAACGAAGAATCCAAAAACTGAGAAAAATCTTGATGAATTGTAATCATAGAGGTCAGCGTTTTACAACAGCAACACTACGTCAAAACATCCTTTTACAAACTCTCACTCAACTCGTGCAGTATAATCCAAGTCTCATTTATCCAGTCGTATGCTCAGTGCTTCCCAAACATATGCATTTCGGCTGAAACCTTTACTATTTTAAATTGAACAGAGAGTGAAACTTGTCTGTGTTTTTTCCAAAGCCAGACTCCATTTACAAAAACAGTAATTTTACCTCGTAGAACACGGGAACTATTGGTCTGCCCCCGCCTCAGTTTGGTGGTTTGTTTGTGTTATTGTGTGACCAAGGTTAGTTTAGATTCATCAAAGTCACACAGTAACACAAACAAACTAACTGATGGAGGTAGAGGTAGACAAACAACTCCTGTGTTTAACGCGGTAAAATACTGTTTTTGTCAGTGGAGTCTGGCTTTGAAGAGTGCATAGATAAGTTTTACTATCAGTTCAGTTTTAAACACTAAGGTTTTAGTGAAAATGCATGTGCTTGGGAAGAACTGAGCATACGATTGAATAAATGAGACGTTTTTTGGATTCTTCATTCATCAGAGGCATGCAAGAAAAACAAAGTTTTCATCAAGAATTCAATGTAACACAAGGTGAATAACTGATACTCAATTGGTCACAATGTGGAGGGTGACTATACTACCATTAATAATGTGTGTGTGGCAATGCAGGTGTTTTCGACCAGTGTCTCGAACAGAGGCTGAAGTCCTTTTAGAGCGACACCCAGACTGCGGCAACATGTTGCTCCGTCCGGGTAGAGATGGGTGCTCACTGGCTGTCACTACTCGACAGGACCTCAATGGGTAAAGACCTCCTGAACATCTCAGCACCACAACTTGAATAACAGGCAACAGAGTCAGATGTAACATTTCCTGCAAAGATTACAAGTTTCCTGTTTCTCTTTTGTGCTCCAGGTCTGTGTTCAGACATTACCGTGTGACCCAGAGGGACCAAGGTGGATATGTCATTGATGTAGAAAATCCTGTAAGTGTTTAAATACAGTTCATTTCTGACAATTCTCTAGTGAAAGTCATTTTACAATGGACTCACCTTTGTTTTTAATGTTATATCGTGATTGTGTTTTGACGAGGGAAACCTCAGGTTAGAGATGCATCGACCCAACTTTTCAAATCTTTTAATTTTAATCGGCTGATACCTTGTACAGATCAAATACCAGTGCTTTCTTTTCAAGGATTTATAATCTGTAAAGTACACTGTGTGTCATCAGAATCAATTTAAAGGAATATTTTATTCACCTGTGCCACATTGAATTTGTGAAGAAAACTTGTTTTTTTCTTGCATGCCTTCATGATGAACGAAGAATCCAAAAATGGAGAAAATAACGTAAGCAATAGAGGTGAAATGGCGCTGCATTTAACAACAGCAAAACTACAGTATACGAAAACATCTGTTTACAAACTCTCACACAACTTGTGCAGTATAATCCAAGTCTAATTTATGCTCAGTACTTTCCAAACACATTAATCTTTGCTAAAAGTGTTCTATGTAACACACTTATAAGGATGTGAAAGGACAAGTAGCATGCTTTCTAGTGAAAATTCATGTGTTGGGGAAGTACTGAGCACATGACTGGATAAATGAGCCTTGGATCATATTGCACAAGTAGTGTGAGAGTTTGGAAACAGAGGTTTTGATACAGTTCTGCTGTTGTTAAGCGCAGTCCCCCTTTTACTTAAATTCATCAAGAATTTTCTCAGTTTTTGGATTCTTCGTTCACTGTGAAGGCATGTGAGAAAAACTAAGTAAAGTGTTCCTGATTGCAAATAACCCTACAGACCTTTATAACAGCATTGCAAATGAGACTTTGTTAAGTGTGGATCAGTGGTATCATGACCAGTCATCTTATCTGCTTAATAGAAACACAAGTTCGGCATATTGGATCAATGCATCCCTGTCATGGAGTTAAATATTTGAAATGACAGAAAACACATACCAGATTTGTCAAGTGGGACGTCAAATACTTGATGCTGCAAATCTCCAAACGGCTGTCTGTCATGTTTGCTGTCAGGTAAAGACATCATTTCTGAAGCGACAACTTGTCAGACGAACATAAAAACGGCATCTTCACACTTCCAGTTTTGAGTTTACAGGATGTTTTGGGGAGACAGCAACAACGAAGAAATAATGTAGAACATGAAAGTGACAAATCTGAGTAGTGCTGTGAGATGACAACACTCAACAATGTCTCAGACTGTATGTTACCACCATGAACAACCCAGCAGCTTCAGGTGTATAATACAACAGGGTCTCTTTTCCAGATCCCTTGTGCTACGCTTCACGAGGTCATCGACGCTCTGGTAGAGAAGACAGCAGGAACTTTACAGCCTTTCCTACTGGAGGAGCCCTACGAAGAGAATATCAGTAAGGCGACACATATTCTCTACATTTATTTTATTTTATTTTAAACAATCAATGAGACTGACCACATTTTACTCTGTGTCATCAGCATATGTTTCCGCCAATGATGAGAACGGAGAAAGGATCCTCCACACTGCCCCCTCCAGCCCCCTGCCAAAGGCTCCCGCCCTGCCTCCAAAACAAGGTTTGCCTCAGTCACATAAACCACATGCATGATGCAGACGGCAGCAGACACATCAGTAATGATCCCTGCTTTTATTCTGGTGCAGATCGTTGGCCCGGCAGCCCCCTGTCCAGGTCTCCTGCCCCCGACCGTCGCATCCTGACCTCACCGGTGCCGGCCTCGCCCACCAACCCCATGAGACGACTCATCCTCTCCCCTTCACCTCTAGCACAAAGTGAGTAGACGGTGCAGATCTCACCTGCTGCGGTCCATCCAGGTCTATTTTGACTTGATAGGTCCGTCCGAATATCGACACCTGTTTGTCTGACAGATTTCTAGTAATTGCCACACAAACGCCTAGAAACACGTAGGTCTACCGTACATACACGAGACCTAACATGATGTTCGTCTTCTCTTCACACAGCACTCAACGAGGAACTCAAAATGAAGCTGGAGAAGAGACAAGCCAGTCAGGAGTGACTTCATCATCAACCAATAAGCAACCTCCTGTCACAGCATACTCAATCTTCAGTGCCAAACCCCTTCTCACAGCAGCTATGTATTCATCCTGTGCCTTCTAGGTGGAAGACAAGGGACTACAAACTCTCATAGGGAAATACAAAATGTTGAGTTTCATTCTTTTGGTCTTGTTGGACTTAGATGGTTAAATGGACTCTGGTTTGCTCCCTAAGAGTGAGATTGGCTGGCAAACACTGGGTCATAAAACGCTGCCTGCCTTGGTTTGGGTAACAATCCACTAGTGCTTTGTCTACTTGCATAAAGCTGTTTACAATCTGAGCAAAAGAATAGTGCCACAGCAAATGATTTTCCTTCAGAATACAATCCGCTGTGAATCAATATGACTGGCAGCTAAAACTTATCAGAGAAGCAGTGGCACGTTCAGGACCACCAACTGAGACTGATGTTTTCCTGTCTAAGCCCCCTGTCTGAGCTGCTGATGTTACTGCTGTCACACCGGAGACTACGAACAAACAAACCACAGACTGCAAAGATCAACAGCGGAGCCCCAAACTCTGACCTGAGCCCCGAGACACTTTATCTGCTCTGAAAGTAAAATAAACCAGGAGCGCTCAGGTTTCAGCAATTCCCCTCACTCACCTCATCACATGTAACATGACTAAGAAGGACAAAAAAAAAAAAGTACAGTCGAGCTGGCCAGAAAACTGAAAACTGCACAATCTCTGCCTGCTGCTCATGAGTGCTCTTTGTGATTGATAAGCAGCCATTGATGTATTGTTGATTCAGTGACACTGTTGTCAACTTTAACTGTACTGTTGGTGCTTATTTTAAAGTGTTTCCTTATTCTCTGCTACTGTGTACGTGCTACTGTTTGGTGCTATGACTCACCAGCACTCAGACCTGCCTGGAAAGCCCAGGTGATTTCTGTTCCTCTTAAAAGAAAAAAAAGGTAAATCTACTGTATTCATGTGTGAGAGTGCCCTCTAGTGGAATGGCTGTCAGCTAAGGTACAAAACTGACTGAACCTGGCAAAGACTTTTGGCTTTATCACAGTATTACACCACGCCCTACCTCTCTACATTTAATGACAAAATTTTAATTTACGACAGGTGTGAAGGTGCTTAAAGAAAAGCAACAAGTATTTCTACAGTGACATTACTGCCAATTGGCCAGTAGATTTGACGTGTCTCTAGTGGCAAACTGTGACTCAAAGTGTCCTCTTACAATGAACAGTTTCTTGTATGTTTGTACATGATGTGTTGTGTCTACTTGATCACTATCAAAGAATAGTGTTTGTTAGATATCAAGGGCATTAAATGGTTTTGCATGGATGGGATTAGTCCGTGTTGTTGATAGTGCTTTCTCAAAAGTGCACCACTTGGCTGTTGGGACTTAGTCAGCGATTGAAACCATGAGTGACGACAGGAGAAGGAGGATAACTCGAATGTAGGTCAAAACATAAGGTCAGGTGTGAGCAGGGAACAACAGGATATACAGGAAGGCAATCCAGGCACTCCAAATATATATTAACGAGGAAGGAAATATTAAAAGCCTTTATTATAGTGGCCTAATGATTAAAAGAGCCAACATGTTTCAACCACTGTAGGTCAGGGCGTTATGAGGAGAATAAGAATGTTGAAAGGAATCAGTACTGTTAAAGAATAATATAAACGTTTTACTGAAAATAATATATTTGGTTGTAACTCCTTTTAATCACCAACATTTTGATTAGTAACCATAATATAAGTACATATTTTTCTCAGTAACTGTAACTGATTACAATCATGTTTATTTATTTTTTATTTAATTACATGTAACTAGTTACTCCCCAAAACTGAAGGTAACCCATAAACAACTCTTGTTAATAGTCTTTACTAAAGAAAGGTAGAAGAAAAGAAAAAAATGTGTCAGCAAGGGTTTGTAAAAGTGATATGTAAGTGTATATTTAAAATTTTCCTCGGTTCATTCTATGATCATTCCAGTGATACAGTTCATTCAATTCTAAAACAGGGGAAATCGTTGAATTGATACCGGACCAAAATTTTTCTTTTTAAATTTTCATTTATTTATGTTGTCATTTTTTTCTTCATTTGTGTTTTCAAAACTGAAAATATAAATAGCATAAAATAAAATAAACAGTAAAAACTTTCAAGTCCACCAATTAGACCCAAGATGCAATTGTGGTCTGTGAAAAGTTCAGGAGAGGAACAAAAAAATTCAATTTCATTTGTTGGTTATTTTTCATGAGGTGGTTTTTGGTGTTATTGTATTTGGTTGCACTGTGCCGTAAGATTGTTATGTTGACAAAAGTAACAGAAACACTTCTGGATTGCGTACTTTACAGGAGGTTGTGTTGTTTCAATCACATATAACCTCTAAATAGTCACAAATCCACTTTAAATTTCATAAAGTATTAATATACACATTTCTGTGCAGGTGCAACATTATTATAACAGATAATGAAATCAAAATAATTCATCCTGTACATTCAGACAGACAACTCCCACTACACACCACTAGATGACATAACGCCATCATTCCTGTTTGGACATGTTGCGCTTCTGTATAGGGAAATTTCATTTGTAACTTATTTTTGATGAGGCAGTTTATGTTGTTGTTATATTTGGCTGCTCTGTACGGTAGGCTGTGATGTGGGCAAACACAATAACAGAAACACTATTTTCCCTCTCTTGGACACCATCTGACCACACTCAATCTAGTCTGAATGATATTCTGATGTCATTGCTGTAGATCCTGGTGAGGTGGATCAGCGAGTCAATGTCTCGCTCATTTTTGGCATACAGCACGATGTCATCCACACACACACACACACACACACACACACATATATATATGTATATATGTAATATATATAATAAAATATAATATATATGTAATATATACATATATATGTGAATATATATTTCAGCATGTTTTTGTTGTTGTTATTGTTGTTTTTTTAACTTGAGCAACATGTCTAAACAGGAGTGATGGAGTAACGTTACCTAGTGGTGTGTAGTGGGAGGTGTCTGAATGAACTGTTCTCATCACAATTCATGTGTAGCTTCACAAATTGATTAAACCAGACGTGCAGGTTTAGCAGCTGTCCATGCATGGAAAAGCAGATTTCAAACCACTGTAAAAAAAATCAGTTATCGAAACAAAAATCTGAAAATACACATATTGCATCTAGACAGCATGGAGATGTTGGTAATTTGTTTGTAACAGTGATTGATTTGCTCCATAAGTGAAAAACTGATGTTTAAAATTGCCATTTTTACATTGACTCCAATTGTTCACAATAGAGCAAAATTCAAAATGCTGTCAAAAATTCAGTTTTTGAGATAAAATTCTGAAATTTGCCACACATCATCTACCATGACTCCAGAATTTTGTCATTTTTTTCATGAACATTGAAGATTTATTTAGCAAGAATTTGCAAGTATATGTTTACAGTACCGTTTACAGTCAAACATTTTGATGCACTGTAGGCTCAATTTTTGATAAATCAAAAATCTGAGAAATGTAGTTTTTGTAGGACAGTCTGAAGATGCTCTGTAGCAAGTTTGGTGTCAATTGAAAAAAAATTGTGGGAGGAGATCGGTTTAAGAAGTTTTATAGTTTTTGAAAAAAAAAACAGAGTGATGAACTTAATAATTTTTAATAGGTTTAAATGTACAAAAGTTTCTTCAGTATTGGGGCTATAGTTTGATGAAAGTTGTGAAGTTGTAGCACATATGGTTGATTTGTTATGAATTTTCAAAGTTTTGAACTTTAGATGCTTGCTGTAGCGCCACCATCAGGACTATTGTCTTGAGTTTACAGCTGAGGATATCTGACATGAGACTGGACCTTTGTGCAAAGTTTGGTGAGTTTTCACCCATGGGAAATATGATTTCCTCGGAAGAAGAAAGAAGAAGAAGAATACCTAGTAGACCCTAATAATATGTAAAATAAATACATAATTAAAAGATATACAGTACAGGCCAAAAGTTTGGACACACCTTCTCATTCAATGCGTTTTCTTTATTTTCATGACTATTTACATTGTAGATTCTCACTGAAGGCATCAAAACTATGAATGAACACATGTGGAGTTATGTACTTAACAAAAAAAGGTGAAATAACTGAAAACATGTTTTATATTCTAGTTTCTTCAAAATAGCCACCCTTTGCTCTGATTACTGCTTTGCACACTCTTGGCATTCTCTCCATGAGCTTCAAGAGGTAGTCACCTGAAATGGTTTTCCAACAGTCTTGAAGGAGTTCCCAGAAGTGTTTAGCACTTGTTGGCCCCTTTGCCTTCACTCTGCGGTCCAGCTCACCCCAAACCATCTGGATTGGGTTCAGGTCCGGTGACTGTGGAGGCCAGGTCATCTGCCGCAGCACTCCATCACTCTCCTTCTTGGTCAAATAGCCCTTACACAGCCTGGAGGTGTGTTTGGGGTCATTGTCCTGTTGAAAAATAAATGATGGTCCAACTAAACGCAAACCGGATGGGATGGCATGTCGCTGCAGGATGCTGTGGTAGCCATGCTGGTTCAGTGTGCCTTCAATTTTGAATAAATCCCCAACAGTGTCACCAGCAAAACACCCCCACACCATCACACCTCCTCCTCCATGCTTCACAGTGGGAACCAGGCATGTGGAATCCATCCGTTCACCTTTTCTGCGTCTCACAAAGACACGGCGGTTGGAACCAAAGATCTCAAATTTGGACTCATCAGACCAAAGCACAGATTTCCACTGGTCTAATGTCCATTCCTTGTGTTTCTTGGCCCAAACAAATCTCTTCTGCTTGTTGCCTCTCCTTAGCAGTGGTTTCCTAGCGCTTGATGGTTTTTGCGACTCCACTTGGGGACACATTTAAAGTTTTTGCAATTTTCCGGACTGACTGACCTTCATTTCTTAAAGTAATGATGGCCACTCGTTTTTCTTTAGTTAGCTGATTGGTTCTTGCCATAATATGAATTTTAACAGTTGTCCAATAGGGCTGTCGGCTGTGTATTAACCTGACTTCTGCACAACACAACTGATGGTCCCAACCCCATTGATAAAGCAAGAAATTCCACTAATTAACCCTGATAAGGCACACCTGTGAAGTGGAAACCATTTCAGGTGACTACCTCTTGAAGCTCATGGAGAGAATGCCAAGAGTGTGCAAAGCAGTAATCAGAGCAAAGGGTGGCTATTTTGAAGAAACTAGAATATAAAACATGTTTTCAGTTATTTCACCTTTTTTTGTTAAGTACATAACTCCACATGTGTTCATTCATAGTTTTGATGCCTTCAGTGAGAATCTACAATGTAAATAGTCATGAAAATAAAGAAAACGCATTGAATGAGAAGGTGTGTCCAAACTTTTGGCCTGTACTGTATAATAAAAAATATATCATACATATAGAAAAAATATTTCAATATTTGAGTTCAGGAAAATTCACACACACCCATCCTGAAAATCAAGCATCTTTACTGCATCAAAGTTTATATATTTACACATTTCAGTTATTTATTTATTTATTTTTCCTTAAATGACATGGGTTTCAGATTTTTAAGGTAGAAATGTGGGACTTTTACTTTGGAATATCTCTAAGGTCATGACTCTATTATAAATTTCATAAAGTAGTATTGTGCATTGTGCAACATTATTATAACAGATATAATGACAACATGAGAACAGTTCATTCTGTTCATTCATTGAGACACCTCCCACTACACACCACTAGGTAACGTTACTCCATCACTCCTGTTGGGACATGTTGCCCAAGTTAAAAAAAACAAAAAAAAAAACAACGTGCTGAAACTCTCTGCATCCGTTTGTATCTCCACCCTCGCCCATCTTGAGTCAGCTGTTCCCTCCACTGACGGGTGAAAACATATGGGAACAATGAAGCCTTAATCAGACCTGAGATCAGCGCCTTCCGCCGCCTCAGTTTGAACGGAGCCAACCGGAGCAGCAGCAGCAGCAGCCAGGAGCCATTCAGACCCTCCTCACCGCGGGATGTGAGCGCTGCTCAGAGCCTCTCCACAATAACGGATGACCGCTGTGACTTTGAGAGGACCCGACAGAGACAGACCGGCTGCTGGGCCGTGAGACAGGAGCTTTTTCTGCGGTGTGAACTTTAGAGAAGTGAACCTGCTGCCTCTCCAGTCTTAAAGGAAGTTACAAGCTAGTGCTAGAAAGTGTCTCACTCAGCGTACGTTGGGCAGCTGCAGCGCGTGTGTGGGACACTTACCAGCCGTTTACACACACTATGAGTTAGTTTAACTACCACACTGTTAGTTAATGAGGAGGTAATGGTTTAGAAATTACGTGTAAACAGGTGCTGGGACTATTTTTTCCTAATGGGAGCCTCGGCAGTCTTGGGCGTGTCACTGCGCAGGTAAGTGATTAACTTTGATAGGAGTGTTGATGGTTAACTGCTGGAGCTCGTGCACTTTGCCGTTAAGTTTGTGTTGACTTTAACGCAGAAATTTAAGCTTAAATCTGTTTTAAATGCTGTTTAAAATAACTTTAAGTAACAAATTATGTTACAAATAAACTAAAACAACGCACAAGGTAACTTTAAATGCGCTAACTCAACAATTAAAAGTAAGTTTAACGCTTCAAGCCGAACTTTTGGCGCATATGTGAACGCCAAAGTGCTCTGTGTGTGTGTGTGTGTGTGTGTGTGTGTGTGTGCGCAGATGGGCGTTGAGTGAAGCTGTCTTTGGCCCCAGGGCAAACTATGTGAAACATCTTCTCAGAGCTGCATTCTCTGACATGCCGCAGCTCATCAGTCAAAACCTGCACCTCTGTTGGGAAACACTCATCTGAATTACACACCTGTGCAGATTGTATTAATCACAAAAAACAACAGCTGTTCGCTGTGATTAAACAACAGGCAAGCTCAGACTAATTGTTACCTCTGTTGGTAGGCTTAAAGGTCCAGTGTGTAAGGTTTAGGGGGATTTAGTGGCATCTAGTGGTGAGGATTGCAGATTGCAACCAGGTGAGACTTCTCCCGGTTTGGATTTCCTTCATTGTTCAGGAGGTTTTTACCTGGAGCTGAATTATCTGCCGAGGTTTCCTTCTTTCTAAAATCAATGGACCAGGGGTCCTCTGCTCTTGTGATAATTTCCATGTTTTAGTGCTGTTACGCTAAGTTCATTTTGTTCTAACATAATCTTGTGTCGCTTAATTTGTGTAGGGGCTCGAGTTCGTCGAGTTTGAGTTTGCTTAATTGAATGTAACATGGCCGCCCTTTTGCTGTTGTGAGGAGCGGGAGTTTGTGTGGTTGTGTTCGATGGCCGATTTTGTTTTGCCCCTTGCCATCAGGAATAAACGGAGGTCGCCTCCGAAGATATCCACGGTCTGAGCCTCTTAATATCAACACGACCCAGATATTACAAGAGTCCACAGGTTACATAGATTCAAGACTAAAACTGTGTGAACACACAAAGGCAGAAATATGCCTACCACAGAACCTCAAATAGTAGTAATAGTGTTTTTTTTTTCAAAACCAGTATGAATATTACTTGTTTAAAAATTGGGCTTCAGATAATAATATCAAATATGAATCGTTAAATTGATCTAGCTCCACCAGACAGAGCATCAGCAAGAGGATTATGGCACCCAGCATATCGACACAACAACACTTAATCCTATTAAAACAACTTTGATTGATTTTAATTAGGGATGCACCGAAATGAAAATTTGTGGCCGAAGCCGAATAATATTAAGCGCTTGAGTACTGAATACCGAATATCGTTTAGTTTTTCATTAGTTTTTGCAGATGAACCCCCTCCAGATTAGTGTTGTCACGGTACCAAAATTGGGATCCACTGTAAGATACCAATGAAAATATCATGGTTCTGAGTAGTATCACGATACCACAGCAAAAATGAGGCAGATGTGCCTTTTGTCATTTATAAAAAGATAAATCACTTTTCTATAATACATCAATGATATTTCAATGGAATAAATTACTTATTGACTTATTCATACTTGAAAAACAGCATCAATCAGTGATTAACATAGGGGGGATCAAAATCAAATAAACGGCCCGTTTCTCCTTTGACACGTCACATACCTGTGTTAGGCTGGCTCGGCTGTTCAGGTACTTCTGGGCAGTCATGACGCCAAGAAGAAGATATTATTGGAGCCGACTTCTCCGTCGCCGGTAAGCCGATGGCCGCCATATTTGACAGGAATACCTTACTGTCTGTGTCTGTGACCCCCGTTCAACCCACAACTGATGGGATTCGCCTTTCGTGTCTGCTGCTGGTTGAAATCTGTAGGCTGCTCGCACAGCGTGCTGAATGATTTAAGCCTATTTTGCTCGCTCAAAACTATTTTTAGTCGCAAATGCGAGTGCGGTGACGGACGGATCGCCACACTGCTGACATTTTACTCTGCCCGCGTTATCAAAACACGCCGCTATTATTCGGCCTTGCTTTTAACTTATTCCACCGAATACCGAATGTGTGTTTTTTTGCAATATTCGGCCAAATATATTCAGTTACCGAATATTCGGTGCATCCCTAATTTTAATGAAAAACCCTTTTGATTCTTTTGATCTGAGGACCCTCACGGACTAAAGGAATATGAATAATATACAGGGTAATGGAGGAGTGGACACATAATTTGAGGTAGCCATCAACACGGTTTTATACATCTGAAGAACTTCTATTAAAAAAATTAATTGCTTGGCAACTAGACCAGCCCTCTAATTGAGACAGGTGTTTATTTGGCAAAATATGTAGCCACACAGTTAGAAAGGCGTACACCTGCTAATGCGTGCTCACCTACGTTGTGATCCTGATGCTTAGGAGAGTTTTACCAGAAGCCGAATTATCTGCAGAGGTCTCCTCCTCCCTAAAACAAATGGATCTGGTGATTAAAACCAGTAAAAATGCTCAATAAAGCAGTTTCTTGTTAGAAATCGGTGTTTCTCAGATGCTGTTTGGTATGTCGGAGACAGACCGCTATCCTAGCACCTGCTAATGTGTGCTCACCTTTTTTCTCTGACAACTTAAAATCAAGACGCTCAGGAGGTTATTACCTGGAGCAGAATTATCCGCATAGGTCTCTTCCTCTTGAAAACAAAGGGACCTGGCGATTTAAACCAGTAAAACACTGAATAAAGAAGTTTTAGGTTAAATGAATATACGTTTTTGCCGACGCTCTTGTCTCAGTGGAGCATTTTACTACAGTGGCTGAATTGGAAATGTGAAAATGCAGATGGCCCCATCTAGAGCTAGAGTTTGGTTTGTTAGTTCTGGGGTAGTGTAGAAACATGGCAGTGCAACATGGCACACATACTCACATATATTCAATGTCTAAACACTGAACAAGACAAACGAACATGTTTCCTGTTGTTGTGTGCAACAGCTTTTGCAACAAATTTGGTGCAAGAGCTCGTCTCTTATCTGCACCAGCCTTCAGCTCTCTCTGTGAATCTCTCATTGTGTGCTTGTGTTTGGTGCTGCAGGAGAGCTGAAGTTGACATCCCTGCACCCTGCTGAATGCCTTTCACGGCCCTGCATTAACATCACTATGGCACTGACAGAATTACTGCCGCGCTGACTTTAGCTCACTCTGCCCTTTCTGGGTATTCCTCCACTCTTTTGCTTTGTTTCTCTCACTTTTGTTTTTAACACTTCTTAGATGTTTCTCTTCAAATGTCATTTTCGAGGAGTTGGGTTTTTTTTTTTTGTAATGTGCTTTGCTGTATGTGTTTTAAGCGTATTTTCTCTCAGGTCTCACGTCCCATGAATTGATTGTGATATCCATACAACCTTGTCTCTTTCAGCCCTCCTCGGCTTTGTGTCTTTGGTCTGTGCCATCCATCTCATCATGGACAGCCTGCTGAGCGGGGCCAGTAAAGGGGCCGGTGCCCTTCAGTCAGCACAGACCTTTTCACGTCATAGATGCTACCGGCTGTCTTCGCCGCTCTATGATTGACTGTTAAGGAAACAATAAAGCTTAAATTCCTGTTAGTTTGGACAAAAGAGCCATGCATCCACTGCTGCCCCTCTGTGTCTTTTGGCTGCTGCCCCTGGCCTTGACACTGGAAGAAGGCTCGCCCCGTAGATCTGTGCCCTACCATAGTAAGTGTTGCTGTCTGTCTTGTGTAACCTTGGCTCACAGTGTGCCAACTCATGTTGGCTCATGTGGTCTGAGTAAGGGCGACTTATTGGGAAACAGAGTTTAATCTCTAGTGTTTCATGAGTTAATCAGTCATGTTCTCTCCCTAGGGGACAACGCTCGTCTGTTTCATGAGGAGGGAGTGTTCAACTACTCCACCATGCTGTTAAGAGAAGATCTGAACCTGCTGTTTCTGGGTGCCAAGGAGGCAGTGTATGCTCTTGACCTCAAAGACATCTCCAAGAAACTTGCTTCAGTAAGAACACAATGCTGTTAAGGCCAATCCTGTCAGCATTAGTCATAAATGTCTTATCAAAGCTTTCTTGGCCCAGGGCTAAGAAATCTTCAAGAGTAAACTTGTGTATCGTGCCAGAATCTCTGCCCTGAACGGAGCGATACACTTAATGCACACTAAAACCAACCAGCTTTATTGGGAGTTATCTGCTGATTTCAGCTGTTACACTTCCACTTCAGTTACATTTTGTAGGGAATTTAGTCACCTCTCTCTTTTTAACAACTGCTGTGTTTACTCTCTGAAGTAGGGCTGGGTTAAAATAATTGATTCATCTGATTCAAATTGCTCTGCATTTGAATGACCTGATTGTTAGCAATTGTTACGAACAAGCTGAAACAACAACTGTTTATGTCAGAGGGAGGAGCAGAGAAGACAGGAGGACTAATACTGACTGATGTCTGTGTTCTTTATTCTTTCTAAAGTTCACTCAGTATTGTGATGTCAGGAATATGATTTATATAATTGACTTTTTGGATTTGTTTCCAGTGAGAAACTGAGCTTATATTGTGACTGTGCTGTTTTACTGTCGCTGCTCTAAAAACAACATTTAGTTATAAGATATCCTGTTCTGAATTTATTCTTTTTTAAACAATTCCTTGTAAAATGTTTAGTATTAGTTCTCTGTGTATCTCTTTCACATACTAGCAGAAATTGGTATATCCCTAATTGAATTGATTTCGAATCAAATTGGAAATCGAATCAAATCGGGACCCTGTAAATTGAAATGAAATCAATTCAGGAATCAATGGCGATGGCTGCTAACAAGAGCGTACATGGCAAAGAGAAGTAAATAGACGACCAATGACGGAGAGCAAGAAGTAGATTGCATAAACCAAGCAAATATGACAAAAGTAACTTACTGTGGCTTTAACCTTGACAGCAGAAACATTAAAAAAAATTACATTTGTTATTTCACTATTTTAGGTTAAATGGGAAGTGACGCAAAAGCAAGAAAATAGCTGTAAAAACAAAGGAAAAGATCCTGAGGTGAGTCCCCTTTGGCTTTGGCTATTCACAATGTAATGCATATTGAGCAGATGTCATCATTGCTTTTGTAAAATGCATTTTCAGGCAGATTGCAAGAACTACATCAGGATCCTGCATCAGTTGGAGGATAACAGGATATATGTCTGTGGAACCAATGCTTTTGATCCTGAGTGTGATTACATGGTGAGGCAAATTCAGAGCTTCAGTCCTCGCTTATCCCAATTCATATTCCGTACTTCAAAAATTGAGTTTGAAACGTTGTGAGCTGTAGTGCCTTTGTGTTTGTCTGTGCAGTCCTACGCAAACGGAAAGCTGACTCTTGAGAAGAAAGCCGAGGATGGCAAAGGGAAGTGTCCATTTGATCCTTTCCAGAGATATGCCTCCATCATGGATGGTGAGTCACAGTTATATAATTAAATAATTAAAGTTGCCCTCCACTCAAAAATGTGTTCTTCTTATGTTTATGTCCCCTAAAATGTCTAACCTCGATTATACTGGATTGTATCTGTGCAAATTTGGCACTAGAGAGGTCTAGCATTAGCTTGGTGAAAGTTTTGGCAGCAAACATGGTAGAGTGCGCAGTTTTTGGATGTAACACAATGCTGCTAGTTAGCCTACAAGCTGAAATGCTAACACACAACATAAACAGATAAAAGATGCTAAATATGCTTAGCATTCTGATACGTCTTCCAGTTGCAGATTTTGGTGTGTAGACTCCTCATTTGAGTTTGACTGAGGCTCACAAATGTGTGCCTGAATCTTTCCAATGTTTCCTCTATTGCAACGCAAGCCACCCTGAGGCGCTGCTTTTCCACCAGTCAAGCAGCAAGTGGTTACGGCGGAGGCCAAATCCAGAAAAACAAGCCCCCAGGACGTGCGCCTGGCTCTGAAGCCAATTTTTATAGTGGCCAAACAGTGGAATTACATCCTCCAGGTCCGTCATGTGGTGCCACTAGGCCCAAAAAGACCTTTTTCCCATAGACTTACATTGTGAAAGAGACATCTGTAAATCAGATACATTTTTTGCCTGTCACAGCCCCCGCAAAATGACTCGTTTAACTATTGAGATTTGATCCATTCAGTGCAATAACATTTCTAAAGTCTAGAAGAGCCGCTGTTAGTGGAAGTTAGCAGAGTGCTAAACTGGAAGTTATCCGCTTGGTTCGTGGAAGTCCCTAGCACGCCTGCTCTATGGGCCCAACAATATGAAAGATCTGTGTAACTTTATACCTCCAAGGTCGAACTTTTTTGACTTCATGCACCACTGAGCAACTTTAATAGGAACAGGGCCCTGTGTTTAACGCTGTACGCATTTCTCTTCATACATCCACAAGGAGAAAGAGCAGATCTGCTTCTAGCCCCCTTTCAGATTTTTTTTTTTTTACCATTTTGTGGGAAAACCATTTTCAACAAAATATAAATGTTAATTTGAAACATGTCTGGAGAAGGACTCTAAAGAAGAGTGGCTAATATAGCAAACATTTTCATTCTTTGATGTCCCTCTTCTAGCAGGTTAATCAGACCCTCTTCAAATTTGCTGATTAAAAAGTCCTACGACCTTGATGATACTCAGAAATGAAGCTATTGAGTTTTCATCAAACGCTGTCACCATGGCGACGCCTTATTCGCCATAAAACAGGATGTTGTTTTTAAGGGGCAAGGGATGCTTTAAAACTCACGAAACTTGGCACACACGTTTGAAGTCTTGTGTTGTCTGGAATTATTTTTTTTGCTTTGATGTGGCAACTTGGCTCCTTAGCGCTCCCTAGCAAATTTTGACGGAGCAGCCCCCGCAGTACGTTTTACCTGTAATTATAAAACTTGGTAGGCATGTCTAATACTCCAAGACGTACAAAAAGCATCTTGGAACCATGCTGTAAACCCAACAGGAAGTCAGCCATTTTGAATTTAATGTGACACTTTTGTGCAATTTTGGCCATTACTGGGGGGCGTTCTTTTACAAACTTCTCCCAGAGTTTTCATCCAATCGACTTCGAAATTGGTGTGTCCCATTGAAAGATCTTAATGATTAAAAGTTATTACAGGCTAGGTTTTTCGTCAATCTGTGTGACCGTGACGAGGTTTCAAACGTAAGTGTTCCACCATGAAACAAGAAGCGGTTTGTAACTCCAGCATACATGGTCCAATCTGCCCCAGTCTTCACATGTTATATAAGGTTCTGTGCCCCAAGCCAACTACACACACATTAGATGTCATGGTGATTGCGCCACCTACTGCCAAGAGGAAGTATGTTTTGTCAGACACTTTTTAAAAAAAAAAAAAAAAAAAAAAATTTGCATCTGTTCTGTTGTTGCATCTTTCCAGATAACAACCTATATTCAGCCACTTCAATGAACTTCCTGGGCTCCGAACCCATCCTGATGCGCAGCTCTCCTGTGTCCATACGCACTGAGTTCAAGAGCTCCTGGCTTAATGGTGAGCTGTCGTAGGATGTAATGGGTTTTTTGCAAGATGCTACATTCGTGCTAGGGCTTCTGTTTCACCTTGATGTTTTTTTTCTCTTCTTTTTCTGTCAGAGCCTACCTTTGTTTCCATGGCTCAGATGCCAGAGAGTGATTTGAGTAATATGGGAGACGATGACAAGGTCTACCTGTTCTTCAGTGAGACGGCTGTGGAGTGCGACTGCTACAACAAACTGGTGGTCTCCCGTGTGGCTCGCGTCTGCAAGGTGAAAAAGAGTTTACCGTGCATGTGCTTATTTGTAGCAGCTCCATTTCCCAAAATGACAATAACGTATAAACAGCACTTCCTCAGTTGCGCTCATTCCGCCCTTTCCGCTGCTTGATTGTGCATCCCGTTTGTCTTCATGTTTTTCCACTTGCCAGTGTGGCATTATGGGGTATTTCTGTGCTCTCAGGGGGATCTTGGAGGTGAAAGGACCTTGCAGAAGAAATGGACATCCTTCCTGAAGGCCAGAATGGACTGTCCAGTGCTGGAGTCTCAGCTGCCGTTCATTATCCAGGACACTTACCGCTGGTGTGACCCTGAGAGGCACTGGAAGGATTGTTTGTTCTATGCCATCTTCACACCACAGTCGTACGTTTGAATTAACAAACGTGTTTGTGTGTTTGGGTCTCTTTCTGTTTAATGGTCTTTGGCACACCACTTGGCTCACATTTTCTGTGTGTGTGTGTGTGTGTGTGTGTTCGTTCCAGGGACACATCAGACCTGTCTGCAGTGTGTGCGTACCGCGTGTCCAGCATCAGCAGAGTGTTTGCAGAGGGGAAGTACAAGACCCCAGTCCCCGTAGAAACCTCTTTTGTTAAGTGGGTGATGTATAGCGGAGATGTCCCCGTCCCTCGGCCCGGAGCTGTGAGTCTGCCCACTATTCAGCGTGTGTTAGAAACAAAGGCCAAACCTCAAAAGGCAACTCTTTTTTTTTTTTACAAGTGTCCCAGCAGGAAACTGATTCCTTTTGTACTCTGACTCCGTTGTTCTCTCCTCTCTCTTTCCTTCCCCTCTTCCCTCGCCAGTGTATAGACAATGCCGCTCGTAAAGCGGGCATACATCAGACTCTGGACCTCCCAGACCGGACCCTTCAATTTATCAAAGATAGGCCCCTCATGGACCAAGTTATCCAGCCAATAGGACAGAAGCCTCTACTGGTGCGAAGGGGAGCTACATTCACTCGCATCATAGTCGACCAGGTGGAGGCAGCAGATGGAGAGAGCTACCACGTGATGTTCATAGGCACAGGTGTTTATCAACGCAACGAACCAACACTTCCTGTGTATATTTCACTTTGCTTCTTTTGAAAACTTTACAACATCAGTGGTTAGTGTCAGGGCCCTGTGTTTCAGGAAGCTGGTAGTAAAAACTCTTTAGATAGTTAACTCTGAGATGAGGGAAACTTTGGGTTATCTGTTCCAGACAGAGATAAGACAAACTCTGTGATCATAACCTGCTTACTGATAGGTTTTCCTCAACAAACCCTGAGTTTCTCTCTGTCTCCTCTCTTACAGAGCCAGACATGCTGTTTCATTTCCTCTCTGAGGAAATAAAACATTTCTCAGAATCCAGTTTCTGTACACGCTGTTAGTCATTTCTTTGAACAGCTGTTTTGCCTTCACATTAGATTATTACGCAGCATCAAGTCACCCTCAGCTCAAAATGAAAGCTCTGCATCTCCTTCTTCTTATTTATTTTTTATATAGCGCTGTGTCGGTGTGTCAGAGCAGTTCCGCTGAAGTGTTTATTGCACATAATGTGTAACCAATTGTAAAAATCAGCATGAAGCTTTTTTTTATGCAGGATCAATGAATTATCTCTATCACTCACGATGTGATTGTTCGCACTAATAGAACATAATCCCTGTAATATCAGAGATTATATATGTCAATATTTCTGAGTGAGCAGGATCGTGGTGCAGCTGTTGAATATAATTTGAAAGTGAGTTTTTTTGAGCAGGCTGCATAGTCTGAACATGTTTTATTAGCATTTCAGTGACAGTCTTTAAATTTATATTTGTTGAATTAGTTTAGATAACGCCATTAAATGCTGCTGAGCTAAAGATCCAAATAGATGTCATTTAAAATCGACTGTCTTCTAACCTCGACACTTCATGTGCAAATCACCAACCGTATTATTACTGTGAGCTTACAGTCTCTTTGTCTTTGATCTATATGTTTTTTGTTTTTTATCTTCGATGGCTGGCCCTTGTTTTGTCACTCTCAGATTTAAGCTGAATAGATATATTTAAAATGTAATGTAGGCTATGACCTAAATCAGTGGTTTCCAACTGGTGGGTTGCGGTCCAAAAGTGGGTTACTGGCCATTTTGAATGGACACACACTTTAAGCGACTTGCAAACGTGTCATGTTGGTAAAGAAAACACACTTTATTTTTAAGTACAATACATTTCCAGCACAGAACTTTCATCCTGAAGTGCCGTTTTCCGCTGTAGAGTGAGTGACTAACCGACAGTTACTTGACAGAGCCAGCAAATGCTCAACGCCATGACCAAACACAAGCATGACCCTGAATGTCCATAGAAGAATCCATAGAGAGGAACAGGTGTGAATTTGGACGTACTTTGCGTCGTTCGGGCCCATAGGCTTAATGGACAATACGGAATAAAACTTTATTGTGTTGACTTACTGACACTTCTGCCCACTCTAACTCAGGCTCTTGTGAACTGTCTGTACGTACATGTATTAATATCTTTATGCCCACTAGATTAAAATGGAGGCTCCGCCTTTTATTAACCTGTTGCTATGGTGAACTTAGTATCAGAGCCCCACTGATGATGATTTATTTTATCAACCAAGCACAAGCTCAACTCTGGGTGAACATACTCAGACTTGATTAAATAATCTCTGATCAGCTGTCGTCTAACTGAAAAACTTGAAGAGTTTCCCATCTCAGTTGCTCTGTTCCCTGCTCTCAGAAACAGGGCCCAGCTCATATGTGTCAGCATGTAAATATAGCATGTTTCCATGTTTTTATATTCAAAGAGGATGGCACCATGGTGAAGGCAATGAACTACAACGGAGAGATGTTCATCATAGAGGAAGTAAAACTCTTCCAGACCCCAGAGCCAATCAAGATTATGAAATTCTCTAATGTCACGGTAATTTCAAACTCTGTCGCCACCTAACTAGCGGCTTATTACTTTGAAATCATGTTCATAGTGTATTACAGTAAAGCATCTACTACATTAGTGTCATTGCTCTGTGTGTGTGTGTGTGTGTGTGTGATGGATCTGTTGTGTACAGGGTCAGCTGTATGCAGGCTCAGACTCCGGAGCAGCACAGATCCCACTGGCCACCTGCGAGAGGTCCTTGTCCTGTATGGACTGTGTCCTGTCCAGAGACCCGTACTGCGGCTGGGACGAAGTTGCTAAGAAATGTGTTTTCTTTTCTGATTCACAAAGGTAGGCAGCTGAGCCAACATGCAGAGAAAGCACTGTTTATATTGGTTCTAAACAAACTAAAATAATTGCATCTCCTGTTTTAGGAAGCTGATCCAAAGTGTGAAAGACGGAGACGCCTCCCTCTGCCCTGATGCTGGTGAGTCAGTGCACTCTATCTCATAAAGAATTGAAGCAGTTATTCATGTATTCCTAATTATATTTTGTACCTAGCAGGGGTTTGCACCATTTTCTATACCTTATTTGAGGTCAGTTGTGGGTTATTAAAATAAATTGCTTGTTAGGTGAAGGACCTCTGTTTATTTTATTTATTTCAGATCCTGTGAAGCCGATGAATCGGACCATCTGGCCTGGGGGAAGCCTGTATCTCCCCTGCCCTCCACCCTCCAATCTGGCACAAACCAGTTGGGAATGGAATGGCCGACCTCTGACCCCTTCGGCTCGCCTTCAGCTTGTACGAGACAAACTGAATATCCTCAACACCACAGACTCCGACGCCGGTCTGTACCGCTGCCAGTCTGTGGAGTCCTCCAAAGGTGTCGAGTACACATCCACTGTGGCGGAGTACCAGGTGAGCATGGCCACAGGACGTGGTGGGAATGTGATTATTCCCAAGGCTCAGACGGCTGGCTCCTCTGGGGCTGGACTGCACGCCATAGTCGGGCTCCTTTTAGTTGGTCTTGTTGCCCTTTTGGCTTGGAACTTTTACAAAGGCCACTTGCCGCTGCCCTGCAAGTGCGGGAAGAAGAATGGAGAGCAATCCCCAGAGACCCCTGAGCAGGGGGGTCCGACTGCCGGGCCTGCACAGGCGGAGGTCAAGCCCCTGGTGTCGGGAACAAACAACGGCAGTAATAACAACCACACTGGAGGGGAGGCGGCTTTCAGTGCAGCCGAGGAAGAGGACGGCCCGAAAGTTAGTCTTCCATCTCTGCAGTTTATAGATGACGAGTCAGAAATTTGACATTGACAAACCCGTTACTGTATCCAGATTCCCGTCCAGCGCCGCTTAAGTTTGAGAACTAAACGGGAATGCGCCAAACTGTTTGTTTCGGGGCAGAACTACTAGAGTTGAAATCTGAAATTTATGGGAATATGAACCACCCTGTGGTTGAACTTTGTTGCGAGAGACACACCAAAAGATTCTTTAAGTTTTTTGTACGAGAGACACTTGAATTTCTGCTTTACTTTTTATTTTCACATTTAAGTGTTTTAGCTTCAAACTAATTGTCGTAAATCCTGTTATAGATGAAAATGTCTTGTAAAGATTGGTATGATTTTCACAGGGAATTTACAATAACAGAAAATGAGCCATTTCATTTCTAACCACTAGCTGCAAAGACTTTGTTTTATTGAATTAAATCTTTTTTCTACCTGGACCTTGTGTTGCTCCATTGTATTTAAATATAGCCAACAGGGTTTACTAGTTTTTAGCAAGACTGGACTTGCCAAGAATGTGAAGAACAGATGTGGAAGATACCTGCTGGTATGATTCAATTTCTGTACTTCTTGTGCTTTTGTGTTTTGAAGATCCAGTTTCATTTAAAGACTGGCTCAATATTTAACTCTGTAACTCCAAAATAAGATGTTTTGAATTCACAACAGAAAACCATCAAACAGCAAAGAGTAAAAAGGAAACAAGTCTTTAATGTGTAATTTTCAGACTACAGTACAATTTAACAGGACAGTAATCTGTATTTTTAATGAACTGTTTTTTTGGTGTAAAAACACCTAAAAATAATACAACAAAGCACATTGACTGCACAGCCTATATAACAGTGACTGGGGTCTTGGTCCATCCTTGTACGGGCGTCTATCTCCTGTAGCGGTACCTCTTGAAGTGGAACCACAGCTGGAAGATCCCATTGGCGAACTGGCATCGGAAGCCATGTCGGTGCGAGTACTCCCATTCCCTGTTCACAATCTTAAAGGCAATGTCCTCGTACGGAGGGCCAGCGTGGAACCTTAAGATCCCAAAGTCCTTGTTGTCGGGACTGGGCTCGAGGAAGTACTGCGGGGTGGAGCGTTTGTCGATCAGGTCTGGGTAGAAGATGTTAAACTTGTAACCCTGGACGATTTTGGGTGGAGGGTTGTCGAAGTCATAATGCGTCTGATTGTATTTGTTCCACTCGAAGCCAGTGTGGACCCTGTTGAAGAAGCGGGGTTTCCTGGGACGGTATTTGTCAGCCCACAGGTACATCTTCCCTGTGACCGGAAACTCTACGCTGAACTGGGCCTCGTCGTTGCCCATTCCCTCTCTGGCACGACGAACGAAGGCATCCTCAGCGCTCTCGTTGGCATCACCTGATACAGAAGTCAAAGAAGAAACACTAAATGACTTGGGGGAGAAACAATACTATTATTTAGAGATTAATATATCTTGTACATTGAGTATTGGTTTCCTCATGAGTTCTACAGCTTGAAATTGACTGCTACCCCACTGAAGAATCATTTTCTCCTTCCACAGGGCTCCATGATTTATTTTCTGCAGGTACTAGTTTTCTTTTGTGTATCTGGAAGTTTTTTTTAATTGGACCTTAACAGTTGTAGCCCTCAAAAATCAATCCAGAAATGTGCACCATTATCCACAAATATCTCGCTATCCTCAATAATGTATTTTAATTTGTGTTAAGTCATATCCCTGATCCAGAAACACCCTGACTCCCTGCCAGATAGCAAACTTTCTGTTGCTGCCATTACGCAGGTTAGATCACCACTGGTCCTAGCCCGCTGTCACCCCAGCGCTGGGGGTTGCGCTGGCTAAATTCGAGCTGATACAGTCACTTACTGAAAGTAAAAAAAATCTGCTTGCTACACTGCATCAGTGCAGAATATTGGCCCTTGCTCCCAGAGCGTATGGTTGTCAAACTGATAGCCGATGGGTTCCAAGACAGTTGCAACTATTAAAGTCTTATAAAAAGTTGCATACTTTACTGAGCTTTTTGTGCATTTTAGTAATCTCATACCCGTGACTTGTAGCTGTCTGCGTGCCAACTGCAGCCTGTGTGTGTCCTCCTCCGGTGTGATCGTGTGTGTGTCCAGTGGCAGCTCGGAGGACGTGAGCAGCGTGGGGCTATAGCGTCCAGAGTCGTACTCCGCTTGGCTCTGCTGGATCAGGTCCTCCTCCGTCAGCACGGCCTCCACCACCTCGCCCTCCTTCTCATCATCCTTCTTGTCTCCCTCTTCTCCTCCCTCCTCCTCATCTTGGTCTCTTGCTTTGGATGTTGATGGACCTGCCTCCTCATCCTCATCCTCATCTTCTCTGTTCTTATTTCTTGTGGAGGAGGATGAAGACTGGCCCGGCTCCTCTGGTGTGGTCTCCCTTTTTTCAAACAGAAGTGAGAATTAAAATAGTGTGAAGTCAAAGATGAGCCTCAGGTCACCTTCACCTGATACTACGCACAATAACTGACTGAGACACCATGTCCCCCCAGTTTCAGGATGTGTTCACTTACTCATCATCGTCACTCTTCTGCTCCTCTTTGATGATGGGGAACAAAGGTTCACTTTCCACCCCTTGTTCCTGTTTGAGCTTGAACAGCTTCTGACGCAGCACATCCTGGTGTCGCTCTCTCAACCTGGGACACACAATTAAATTACTACCCACTGTCCATTTTGATAAATCATGAGCCATCTGTGTAACTTCTAATTCAAATTCATACCTTGCTCTGGCCATGTAGACTCTGACTTGCTGCAGCAGACTCTCCCAGTAACCGATATCAAGATTTGATCCTCCAGCCCGGATCTTCGTCTCAATGTTGAGGTGCAGCGCCTGCAGCTGGCTGTACGTCTTTCCTTTGAACACCGTTTGGACATCGGTGCTCACAGCTGTGTTGATGCCCTCGCGACGATCACCTGCGAATTTAAAAGATTGCATCAAAGCATGTTGCAAACAGTTCACAGAGACAGCTGCAAGATTATTTATTAGTCAGATTAGCGTTGGTGCAAATGTAACTTCACATGTAAGAACAAAGGAGGGAAAGTGACGTACCTGGTCCTTTCCCAGATGCCTCCAGTTTTCTCAGTTTGCTGATCTCGTCCTCTGTGATGGTCGTCATGTCTCTCCAGAAGTCCACGTTCTTCCCCTGCTCCAACTCCATGTACACCTACCAGCACAACATACACTCGTACAGTAAACCACATACAGGAGCAGCTTACGCTTTAAGATTAAAGGAATACTTCACCCACAAAATGATCCTTTGTACATCAATTATTCATCCCATGTTATTTTGAACTCATGAATGAAAACAGCCCTTATAACCACAGACCTTAATGTCTTCCAGCAGGTCATCCATGTCGGTCACTGTCAGCCCGTTGAGAAAAGTATAGGGTTCGTGCATTTCCACAGCTAGATCGTCATCTTCTGCACTGATGTACTTCGCCAAAAGGTCAATAGGCTTGGCACGACCATCACGGATTCTTATCTTAGACCTGGACACACAATACAAAGTGAGACAGTGCATACACGTATTAAGGAACAGTTGTAGGAACCTGGAACTTAACTGGAATGGTGCAAACAAACAGAGCCACAACAATGACATGAAAAGGAGCTATACAGTAACTGTTGGTGCGCACTCACCTTAGTTTGGCCTGGTGCAGATGGAAGTTGTCTTCCTGTTCAGCCCAGGTCTTAAAATGCTCCGCCTCCTTCTCTCTCTGTAGCATCTCCAGCTCCGTCTCTCTCATGGCCTTTTCTCGCTCCCTCTCCAGACGCAGCTGTTTCACCTGTATACACAAGGTTAGTATTCAGATTCAGATTCAGATTCAGAATACTTTATTAATCCCCGGGGGGGAATTGTTTTTGTTCCAATGCTCCATGCAAAGTAGAAATAGAAATACAGCATGAATGGAAACAAGAGATAAAGATGAAGATATAAATAAAATACTAAAATAGACAATGAAATAAATAAAATAAAATATTAAAGTAGACATTAAAATAAAATAAATAATAAAATGATGTATGATTAATGAAAGGGCTGTTACTCTTTACTCTGTAACATTATAATGCCACAAAAAACCCCACAACACAGCTTATACCTTCTGCAGCTCTCTGCGATTCTCCTCCTGAATACATTTGTTCCTTTCTTTAAGCTCCTTCTCTCCAAGGTGGCCGATGCCTTTCTTATCCAGCGCCTGAAACAAGTCACAAAGAAAGAATCTAAGATGAGTTACAACACTCAGAGCTGTTATGACAGGAAACTCTCTTAATTTTGGGCCTGCAGTCTAATTTTGAGCACAGTTCACAATAACAACTCATCACCTTCTGCCATTTGAATGTGCCCAGTAAGTTGTTGTCACCGAAGGGATTGTCTGCGTTGGTGTATCCCATGTACTCCTCACTCCAGCCCATCTTCTCTCTCCTCTTCTTCTCCTTGGCTTCTTTCTTTGCCAGTCGTCTGGCCCTCTTCTCCTCTGGCGTCTCCAGAGCTTTCAACATCTCCCGCTGTTTTTTCTTATCCTCCTTCTCTTTGACCACGCGGCCACCGCGTTCAGACCCTGAGCTATCGGTCGACTCGGGTGAACTAGAGCGCTGCCTCCCTCTGTCTCTGCTCCCCATGCTCCTCCCTTGCTCCCTGTCTTCACTCCTCTTCCTGTGCTCTCGGCTTTGGTCTCCTTTTCTGTCCCTGTCCCTGTCTCTGCTGTTGCTCTCCCACCTTTCTCTGTCTCGCTCTCTCCTCAGTCTGTCCCTGAGTGGACTCCCTCGGTCAGGACTTCTCCGTCTTCTCCTTTCTCTGTCACTGCTTCCATCACGGGAGTCGGAGCTGGACTGGGACCTTTCCCTCCTCCTCTCTCGAGATGCTCCTCTGCGGTGCTCTGCTTCCTTTCTCCTCCTCACTTTGGGATCACCTGAATCAGAACTGAGAAAGAAAAAGATGAGCAACCATGTTTTGGAGACTTAAGAAATACATTTGTTCTTTATTCTTCAGCAATAGTGACAGAGTGAATGTCAGCAGGCTGTTATGTGGAACATGGAAACAGCTGCCTTGTGGGTTACAGCTGGTTTCCCTGAGCTCTAAAACCTAATTCCAGATGCACCAGAAATTCCTTGACATTTAGTGACGTGGTTAACATCTACAAGGTCTTCTTGTTTACATGATGTTATGCTGGATCCTTGCCTACAGTGGATGTTGCCTAAGCAAAAAATAATTGCTGGTCTGGGTGCAATGAGCAAAGTTAAATCATCTGAACACAGGAAAGTCATTACCATTGCGTATGATGTCCTTCTCTTTGCAGACAAAAATGCTGCAGTCAAGGAACAACCTTCAGTATTATGGTGCCACAGCCTGGAATAAGTTAGACAGGTCTACAGGCTTTCAGATGTAAACTGAACTCTACACACCAGTACATGTAATGAACGGGCTGTGTTAAATGCTTCTGTTTCACGTTTTAATTGTTTTATTGGTTGTTTTAAAAACAGGTACTGACTAATAGGTGCCTGTACCTCCGCAGTATTGATACTGAGTAGATTTATTTAGCTACAGTAAAGTAAATTCAATTACATGATGGAATAAGATGAATTTTGGAGAGCTTGACTTGTGGAGATGTGATTGTATGCATGTTGATAATCAAAATTCTCAAAGTACCAAGAATACAATGGGACACATGGGCTCAGGTTTATTTTAATTGTCGTGAACAATTAAATTTGCAGATTAACACAGGCACTACTTACTCTGTTGTATTCAAATCCATCAACTGTCTTTGCTATTATGACAACTTAAAGGTCCTACATTATAAAGCAAAATGATTTCCATGTCTTTTCATTATATAGCAGGTATAAGTGTCATATTAGTCCTCTGAAAGTATCAAAACGCTCAGTCCACAGAGAAATGCACAAAGTCCGTATCCAGAAACGGTGCCTTTAAATGAGCCATCAGGACTTCAGGGAATTTGTGATGTCACAACCATATTATATAGTCTGTTTCAACCTTGACAACATAAACATTCTCAATGAGACCATTTGACTTTCCTGTTGGAATGTTTGTTAACGCAGTAGCTGACAGGAAGTAAAGAGGGACCATAACTATTTAGGTACAAGGTGCAAGTTCAGGGGTGATACAAGCAGCTTTTACACTGCCTCTTCAAGGTGGGAATTTCAAGCTGTCATGCCGCCTAAAAAGGTACAATCATGGAACGGGGGAAAGGAGTTTCCTTGCCTATCAGTGGTAGTAAAAGCGCTAAAACTATGTCTGTATGACCAGGATAGTCGGCTAGACAGGATCATGGTCAGCATGGGTGTGAAGTTTTGACGATGTGTTATGCATGCGACCCACCGCAGGAGATTTAAAAAGTAGCTGTCAGCAGTTAGCAGCTAACTCAAAGAAGAAGAACAGTGATGTCTGGGAGCTCCTTACCCCCTGAGCAACGGATGAGATCAGCCGCCATATAACAGAGATGGTAAATGATTGTTACTGCCAAAAGATCAAAGGTGGCGTGAGTAAGGGACTGCGTAGCAGCCCTACAGCAATCTCTATGTAAAAAGTGCTACTGTATGCAATGATGGTGCAGAGATGCCAAAGACCCAGTAACACTGACCAATCAGAGCACACTGGGCATATTCAGGAGAAGGGCTTAAAAAGGCAGGCGCTAAAACTGAGCATTTCAGACAGAAGGTGAATACAGTTATATTTAGAAAGACAGTATGGGAAAGATAAAGGGTATTTTCTAACATTAAAGCATGTAAACGTGTTCTAGTCAAAACCCATAATACAAGTATGGACCTCAAAATGAGCATTATCCGGGACCTTTAAACAAACACCCATACCAACCAGCTAGCACCACACAGCCAACAATTACCTTGATGATCGACCCCTCGACTTGCTCCTGGGCCGGTGGGGTCCTCCTCGCCTCCTGTCGCTCTCAGAGTCGCTCCTGGAACCTGAACGGTCCCTGCGTTGAGGCCGACTCCGGTCAGGAGAGCCATCGCTCGAGTTCCTGCTGCCTGACCGTCCCCGTCCACGGGCGGTTCTCTTGGTGTCCGCAGACCGACTGCGTCCTCTCCTTAACTCCGGAGACCGGGACCTGCTCACTCTGGACCTGTTTCGCCGCTCACGGCTCCGACTTCTGGACTTAGAGCGGGACCTACGTCGTGATTTCGAGCCCATCATCCAGTCAATGCGGGGTCCGAGGGGCACTCTGTCGCGTAAATAAGAGGTAGCAAAGAAAACGGTTTGCTGTCCTCGCAGTGAAAAGTATATCTATGTACTTTAAAACATTTTATAAAATAACTGAACGTCCATGTCGTACTCTAATACACATAAACATATCCAAACAATGCGTTAATATGTCTGTTTCCAAAATGAATAACTCAGGCAGCAGAAAGCCAACCTAAAGGGACTTCTACGAAATGTCGCATATTCTTGACGTCACTACTAAGGATTAGGAAAATAAAGTATAAACAAATATATTTTGTTTAAAGGCAGTTTTAACGGTGCAAAGAACATCCTATATTAATTTAATATCATAGAAACGTGTTATTGTTTTTAAATAAGGTTAGGGTTAAATTAGGTCAGCGCTGCTTTTCAGAAACACAAACAACGTTCGTGTTTTCGTGACGTCACGCAACTGGCAAATGTAGTTTCCTGAACTGACTATTAAATCAATTGTTCAAACAATAACAGTCACGGGTCGACCGATTCCCCTTGGTGTTTACTTTCTAAATGTAAACAAGTATTTGTGTACGCCACAGCGTGGGTTCGTCCTTGCTTTGAAGGTTAAAAGTGATGTTTACAGGTGAGACGCAGACTACAAATCCCAGACAACACAAGGCGCCATTGCCTGTGTTGAGGCAAGAGGAGACTCCTTTCAGCTACATTCTTCTTCAATCAGTCTTCTGTTAGGGCGATATCAACTACGTTTCTGACAACCGTCGTTAGAGTTTTTGTTTGCTAGATTTTCATATTGATATTTGTGTTTTCTTTTTGAACCCGGCTCTCGTAGGGAGTTAGAAACTACTCGCGCCGCGGTAAACTCATCCTCAGCTGCTCCGTCAGGCACAGCTTGTTAGCTAGTTTACATTAGCCAGCAGCTACCAGTAGATTTACGGCTTATATCCGTGGCTGCCCTGCCAGGTAGATCAGCTAAAGCTGGAGCCGCTGGTCGGCCACAATGGTCTGGTCAGTTCAGCAATTTCAGAGTATTAACATTTGTAAATTATTTGTGTGATTTGGGAACAAAACAACGCAACCTTTGTCTGACTGTGCGCAGCCTGGCTGGTTTGGCCTGTTTCATTGTCTCCGAACATCGAAAACAGACAAGTTGTTTTCCCACTGACAGGAGGTTGTTTGGCTAGTTGGACTAACTTAGCCGTGTTCGTGTAAACAAAGCCGTCAGCTGTCGTCGCCAGATTATCTTGAAAGCTATATAGTACAATATGGCGCAACACGACCACTCTCATGTAGCCAGTTCACAGAAAGCACTCATGTTGGAGATGAAGAGTCTTCAGGAGGAGCCTGTCGAGGGATTCAAAATAACACTGGTGGACGAGGCTGATCTGTACAACTGGGAAGTGGCCATTTTCGGTCCGCCAAATACTCACTATGAAGGGGGGTATTTTAAGGTAAGACACAATTTAACTGTCCATCTAAGTGAAAATTTGTCTTTGATACATGTGGTAGTTTATGAAATCATTAAAACATAGATACACAATAACATCACTTACAGTGTTTAAATAATAATATACAAATTCTGCCTGTTTCTGACTTCCTTAAAAACATAATCTGTCTCACTACTTGCATGGCAGCAGTGGGTCTGCACATGTGAAGAAAATATGCGATAATTGTTAAATATCGCGATAACGATATTACAGTTGCGATCCATAAACATATATTAAAGTGTATTCTGCCCTTTTGCTCTTCCCAGTATTCTGCTAACATTAATTAAAATTTCTTAAATTAATCAGAATCAGAATCAGAAATACTTTATTGATCCCCGAGGGGAAATTATTTATGTTACAGGTGCTCCTTGCAAGAGAGGAAAGATAAATGAAAATATAAGAAATTTAAACAGTAGTATTAACAAATATATAGTTAAATAAACAGGAATTATTAACAAACATAAACGTAAATAAATATATATATATATATATATATATATATATATATATTGTAAACTGAACAAGATTATTTACACAAACAGAATATATACAGTCAGGGTGAATGGGGTTATTGCACAAGTTAAATTAAATTATTGCAGTGTGTGAAAAAGTCTCAGGGCCACTCAGAGGGAGGAGTTGTACAGTTTGATGGCCACAGGCAGGAATGATTTCCTGTGGCGCTCAGTGGTACATCTTGGTGGTATGAGTCTCCCACTGAAAGTACTCTTGTGCCTGACCAGCACATGGTGGAGTGGGTGTGAGACATTGTCCAAGACAGTTCGTAGCTTAGACAGCATCCTCCTCTCTGACACCACCATCAGAGAGTCACACTCCGTTCCCACAATGTCACTGGCCTTGCGGATCAGTTTGTTGAGTCTGTTGGCGTCCACCTCAGCCTGCTGCCCCAGCACACAACAGCATAGAGGATAGCACTGGCCACCACAGACTCATAGAAAATCCAGAGCATAGTCCGGCAGATGGTGAAGGACCTCAGTCGCCTCAGAAAATAGAGACGGCTCTGGTCCTTCCTGTAGAGAGCATTAGAAAAATGAAAAAAGCCAGCACAAATGCCAAACTTAATAATAAAAGGACATTACTTCCCACAAGATTTGCAGCTACATACAGATTTCAAGTTATATCGCGATGTAAAAGTTGACAGATGCTTATTTACGATATTGGAAAAAAACAATACAACTGGACTTTAAACCTCCCCTTAATTTTAGTTACTTTCTAAGTGGAGACTTTTTACACATACTTCTGGTAACAAAATGGTTTCAAGTTTCAATTACAGTAATGAAACGTTTGTTTAATCAAAAATAATCCCTCTGTTTTAATTCCTTTAAGGGTCATTTTGACTGATGATAATGTAAATTATGTAATACTGTGAAAACACGATATTTTTGAGACGGTAATTGTACATATTGCAACCCCATTTCCAACATTCTTTCATTGAACACTGAAACTGAACACAAAAGACACTAATTTGAAAAGAAAAAAGAATGATAGTTACATTTTAAAGGTTCAGTGGGAAGGATTTAGGGGCACTTTATATTTATATTTACATACAGAGTGGCCCGCTCCCATGGAGTCCGCCATGTTATTCTACTGGAGCCCTAAATGGACAAACCAAACACTGGCTCCAGATGGGGTTATTTGAGTATTCACATTACCCACTGTAGTTTTTTTAACATGCTTGGCACACATGGGAAGTTTCAGTTCTACATCGTCACCTCTAGGTGCCACTAAATCCTTCACACTGGACCTTTAAAGTGCAGTTTCTTTCAACTAGAGACCCCCTTCCTTCCCAGTTCCAACCCCTGAACTTGCAAATCGGCTGATACTTAGTACTGATCCAATGCCATTGTGTAAATAAATAAATACTTTAATAAACATCTGTATACCACTAACCCTGTATTGATGTAAAATGATTGCTATCATTGTATGGCATGGTTCAGGTTAAACCCTTTGTAAAACATGAACAAATAATGAATGCCATAGAAACTGGCAAATTTTTGACATTTTTCTTTAAGCTAACGTTACATGATTTGCCTGAAATCAGTTATTTGCTGCTCTAAAACAGTAGTTGTCAGGGGCTGCACAGTGCAACTTACTTAGCAGACTGGTGTTTTTGAGCCGCAAAGATGAATTTATCCAGGTATGAAACTACTTTAAGTTTATTATTAAATTGCGTGGCATTGGCATAGAGGCATTTCTGATACTGGTATCAGTATTGGAATGACACTACTTTTAACTAACTCAAAAAATCTCTAAGCACAATATCGCAGCCTTTTACAATGTGTTAATTGCACATGCTGACATGGCGATGACAGTAAAATATTAAAATAAAAAAATCTAATGTGCAGCACCATATGAAATCAATCACAATCAAGTCTGTCAGTAAATGATGTTATATGATATATTGTAGTAACACAGTGTATGACTTGTTGTGTGTTTCAGGCTCGGATCAAGTTCCCTATAGATTACCCATACTCCCCACCTGCCTTCCGGTTCCTCACCAAGATGTGGCACCCCAACATCTACGAGGTGGCGTAGCAACACCCTGATTCTATTTTGTTATATAAAATGTGACGCTTTTTCATGCCCTTATCACTATATTTAATTTAACATCTTTAAGTAGTTGTATGATTCATCTCATAATGAAAGGAGTTGTTTCCTCCTCCTTCTGTTTTTCAGAATGGAGACGTATGTATTTCTATATTGCACCCTCCAGTGGACGACCCGCAGAGTGGAGAGCTGCCTTCAGAGAGATGGAATCCTACCCAGAATGTCCGGTTAGCACTCTCCCTCTTTATCTCTCCTTTCTGGGTGTTCCCCTTCTTTGAACTCTCTCTGCCAGTTAACTGGTTGACCTGACTCAAACTCTCATCACAAAACATTTGGCATCAGACGAGTCTCGCCAGACATTGAATCCATATCTGGATATTCAGCACCATATTTGTAATGTGATCTGTTGTTGGCTGGTGCTGTCGCTCGGCATCTCCCTTTGTATGCTGGTTTGTTGTGCAATATTAGTAAGCCTACACAATGTGTGGGTATTACCTCTCAGTGTACACAGGAAAATATTTCAACGGCTTCCTTTAAACAAAAGTGCTTTTTGGCGCATTTGTGTCAGAGGAGCACCATTTCTTCCAAATAATTTATTAAGCAATCATTTATTAAGGGCCACCACATCAGGAAATTCTCCACCGCTGCTAAAAATAAAAGCTGCACCTTAACTGAACCCACCTAACTCTGACTCAGTCACACACAAAATGAGACCAGTCTCTATAAATAATGTTGCAATAAAAATACAATTAACAGGTGTGAAATAATTATAACGTTAATTGACCAGTTGGCAACACTTCCCTTTGAATCACCTATTTAGCATTTATAGTGGTATATTAGAAAATTGCAATTACAGTGTAGCTGTAAGCAGATATAAATGTTTGTTAATGTATTTGTCAACAACCATAACTCCTCCTGTGGGCACCAGTAAGTGGAGGCTGATAATGTATGGCAATATACTGAAA